TAGGAAGAAGGGCTGTTGCCCGAATCGTCACTTATTTTTGTTGTTACTTTTGAGGCCACAGTGTTAGTGACTAATGCGTTGATTTGTGTGTGTGTGTGTGGAGGTTAAATATCCTTGACGCACCACTTCTAACGCAGCGGCAGCATCACCAATTAATTGACTCGGGGTACGGATCATCATCAGTCGCCACTGAGCGTCTGAACCGTGGAGGCTGTGGAGGTGATGCAGGTAACGAGTGCGCCTAATGCGAGAGCAGATTTTCAATAATCGTGTGGGGTAATCGGCGCGGACGTTATGATCGGCGAACGTGGGTGACCGAATCGATCGCGACCCGAATTCGCGTAAAAAAGTCTCCCTCCCTGTGTCTGTAGAGCAGTCGTAGGCGAATCTGGTGACTTCGCGAAATAATCGAATCAGGTACTCTGATGGTGAGTAGTTTTAATTTTGTTTTCGTTTTCCTATACACTTCATTTAATTGTGCAGTAATTACAATAAATGTGTCGTCATAATTCTTGTTTTAAAGAACAATGTTGAAGTTTTATTTGCGTGTATAAATATGTTGATTCGTTAGTTATGTTATAAGCATGGTGGTCGAATTGTGAGTTGTGTTACCGCACCATATACAGAATTATATAACCTCCATCTGAGTTATTATAATTAATTATAATATTAATTATAATTATTATAATTAATTATAATTATTATAATTAATTCATCACGAGCATGATATAATAACGACGTAGATCATCGTACTTACAGATATTACCCGTCAGCTTATGACCGAATGCATCATTTGGAATGAATGATTTGGAATTAATGATTCCGAATGAATCATTCCGGATTAATCATTCCGAATGAATCATTCCGAATGAATAACCACGAATTAATAATTACGACTAAATCATTCCCAATGAATCATTACGAATAAATCATCACGAATTAGTCGTTCCGAACGAATCATTCCGAATGACGCATTCGAATCATTCGGAACGCACTCGATCTCGTTGGGTCTCGTCAGATTGAGCTCATGATGAACAAAGTACAATTCATGACAAGAACTTGACCTGTAAGGTCCATTTCGTGCGTCTGGTTGCATTCGGTGTGATTTGATCGTTTACACACGCGCGCGCACGCCCTGGGTCGTGTGTGCGAAACGTGTGGGAGTGGCGGCGCTGTCGCGGTTAGCGCACTGCGCTACGAACCCCTTACGGAACAACAGAATTTCGGAAGCATCTGAACTGATCCTGGGCCACCCCTCCCCCGCCCCCAGTGTCGACTCAGCCTGAAATGATTACCCGGTGCGGTGTGTAGTAAACATCGCCATTGGGCGGCCGGACGTGGTGCTGATAACCACACCATCACCTCATGTGCCGAACCAACATGAATAGGTGATCGCTAACAGAACTACGAACCCGGCGGCCCGAGTTCGATTCCCGCTCACGGCCAACACGAGTGACAATTATATCTGAGCCCGTCACGGGCCTCCCCTAGAACGACTCGGCCTCAAATGAGTACCTGGTGCGGCGTGTAGGAAACATCGCCATTGGGAAGACAAAGGCGGCCGGGCGTGGTGCTGGCCACCCGACCCCTCGTGCGCCGTGCCGGCCTTCGCAGGTGCTCAATAACAGCACTTGCCCTAACAGTCTGTTAAGGCTATCCTGGGGGGGGGGGGGTCGATCTTTGCTTTTGTGTGCGCGTGTGCAATTGCAGCCTCCGGCACTCGTGAGCATGGGGTCGCACCGGGGCAGTCTGATGACCGCAGAGAGCAGCGGCCTTCTCGCCTCCCTGGGCTTCGCTGGGGGGCTGGGCCCCCCGCCCACGGCACGGCGTCATTCCATCCCCGTGGCCATGGGACGCAGCGGCCCCCTGCTCATGCCCGACAGATACTCGCAGCTCACCGCAGAGGTGCGCGTGCGTCTGTGTGGGTGACTGTGTGTGTGACTGTGTGACTGTGTGTGTGACTGTGTGTCTGTGTGTGTGTCTGCGTAGGTGACTGTGTGTGTCTTTGTGTGTCTGTGTGTGTGACTGTGTGTCTCTGTGTGTGTCTGCGTAGGTGACTGTGTGTGTGACTGTGTGTCTCTGTGTGTCTGTGTGGGTGACTGTGTGTGTGACTGTGTGTCTCTGTGTGTGTGACTGTGTGTGTGTCTCTGTGTGTGTGTCTGTGTGTGTGTGGGGAGCGGTGGTGTAGCGGTTAGCGCTACGCTGCGCTATGAATCCGGCGAACCAGGTTCGATTCCCGCTCGCGGCCAACACCCAGTGACGACTATCTGAACCGGTCCTGGGCCTCCCTTAGGTCGACTCAGTCTCAAATGACTACCTGGCGGTCGGGCGTGGTGCTGGCCACCCACCCCCTTGTATGCCACAGTGCCGGCCTTAATAGGTGCTCGCTAACAGCACTCTCCCCAAGTCTCTTAAGGCTAGACGGGGGATCTTTGTCTCTGTGTGTGTGTGTGCGTGGGGAGCGCGCTGGCACTACAACACCCCCCCCCCCATGTGACCCCAGGGCAGTGGGGATTATTTTAACCGGTCCTGGGGCGCCTCCCCACCACCACCACCCCCCCCCCCCCCTCAAGGTCGACTTGACCTCAAATGAGTACCTGGCGTGGCGTGTAAAATCGCCACTGGGAGAGACAAAGGCGGCCGGGCGCGGTGCTGGCCACCCACACGCCCTTCGTGTTCCGTGGCGGCCTTCAGAGGTGCTGCTCGCTAACAGCACTTGCCCCTACAGTCTGTTACAGGCTATACGGGGGATCTTTGTCTTTGGCGAGTGGCGGCACGAGGCATACGAAGCGAATGCTCAGGGTATCAAGGGGATCAAGGGGATCAAGGGGATCAATGGTATCAAGGGTATCAATGGTATCAAGGGAATCAAGAGAATCAATGGTATCAAGGGTATCAATGGTATCAAAGGGGGTGCACCAAATATAAGCTCAAATAAAAAACGCTATTGAAGGTAAAAAAAATGGAATGACCGTGAAGCTAATTAATCTCAGCAGAAGGTTTGGTGTAAGGGGCCGTCCATAAATGACGTCACGCACCTAGGGGGCGGGGGGGGGTCAGACATTTGTGACGATGTGTGACGAGGGGGGTGGGGGTTTGAGAAATGTGACGTCACATCAAAATGCGCAACTTTAAATAAATATAGACAACACGTTCTACTTAATTAAATATACTTTTAATGTTTTCTCCTACAACATCAGAGTGCAGCGCCACATTAACTACGCACTATAATAACAATAGTTTAAAGCGATTTGAAGCATGTTTTATTTTTGGGGGGGGGACAGAGCTTTGTGACGTCATATTTGAGGGGGGGGTCTGACTTTTTGTGACGCCGTGTGACGAAGGGGGGGGGGGGGGTCAAAAATCGTCCAAAATCGCGTGACGTCATATATGGACGTAGAATTCTATTGATGTGTGTAGCTCTATATGGCACATTGCAACCTCCGGGTGAAAGGCGGATTGACAGTGTGAATTATGATCATTATAATACACGCTGTCACACGCTTGATATTGTGAAAAAAAATTTGAATCGGTTTTTACCCTTTCTGGCAATGAAGTTTCTATTTGGTGTTTACAAATCTTAACACAACTGTTTTATTGGCAGAAAGGGTAAAACCTATTCTTATTTTTTCATACTTTGATACTGGCAAAACAAAAAAGGTCCCGTTTCTAATTAATCTCGTATGCTGTTTGTATCCCGCTTGGTCATCTCATCCAACTCGTGTCACCAAGTCTGTCTCCTGTGTCAAGCCTCGCTCTCCCTCTCTCTCCCTCTCTCTCACATCCCACTCCCCCCTCAAATCCATCTCTTGTCCGCATTTCTCCCACCTCGCAACATCTCCGTCCCTTCTCCACACAAGCGTGTGTTCTCTCTCTCACCTCGGCAGGAGTTTAGACAGTCCGTTCTCCTGCAACGCCACGTGATGTTTTCATAACGCCAATTGGGTATAACGTGATGAATGTAGTAGGGGACGCTTTATATATATAACGTGGACTCGAATCGGATATAACGCGATCGAGCGAACGGATCTACGTCGCGCGAGTAGGAACGAGCGGTCGTACGGCTGCCTCGGCGTAGCGTCATCACACAAGGCGGGATGCTGCTGGATGCTTCTAGACGCTTCCCACGCGCCTCCGTCTTTGTTCAGCCTGCGTACGCAACGCACGCGTTGTCGCGGACTCCGCTTTACTGCCGCCCCCCCCCCCCCCATTTTATTTATCATAACGCGGTATTCTTCAGGAATGCAACAACCACCGCGCTATAGGGGAACAGGCTGCACATTGAAATGGGGTGCCCCGAAAATAAGGTCCGCTGAAGGCTTCCGATTGACCAGCACCACAGATTCGTGCGTGCCGCGTATTGATGCACCCTGCTCGTCGTAACTCCGGTGCAGGTGCACTTCCTGCACACCCCACGGCCACGTCACTGGTGAAAACGAGAGGGTGAAATCATGAAATCGCAATTCTGATTCGTAAAAAAAAGAATTCCTGGACCCACTTTTTTGCGAGGGGGAGAGGAGGGGGGGTGGTGAATTTGCGTAACGCGTCCAATGATTCATGGTTGCTCACGTGCAGCGAATAATTTCTCAATCAATATTTCCCATGTGTCGCCGGGGGACTGGAGCAGGTGGCACGTGTCTAGTGGTCGCCACAGCCATAGCGAGAGATATACTGGATGTGGTGTGCCGGGTGCGAGACCAGAGTAGGTGCCACGTGCCAAGTAGTAGCCACAGCCATAGAGATCGGTATACTGGATGTGGTGTGCCGGGTGCAATATTATGAGTCACTGGTAGATTGGAGTGGAGTGGGTGCCACGTGCCTCGTGGCAATCACAGCCATAGCGAGAGGTTATACTGGACGCGGTGTGCCGGGTTGCGAGACCGGAGTAGGTGCCACGTGCCAAGTAGTAGTAGCCACAGCCATAGCGAGAGGTTATACTGGACGTGGCGTGCCGGGTACAGAAAAAAAATTATCCCCGGGGGTCTCCTTTGTGCAGTCCGACCTGGACCTGTGGGAGGACTTCACGGGCAGCAGCGAGGATGCGAGCGGTGGGCGATCATCGCTCTGCTCCAGCAGCTCCGTCGGGACGCGACGCAGCGTCAGCGCGTCCGTGAGCGGCTCGCATCGCTCCGACGCCGAAGTCGCGGTGGATATCGAGGGGCAGGACGGATCGGAGAATTCAAGCTTTGTAGACTCGGAGAACGGTGAGCTCAGAGCTTCTTGTTGTTGTTGTTCTTGTTGTTAAATATGCGTCCCTCGGACAACTGGCTAAATCGCCACTGAAAATCGCCACAGCGGGCCACGGCAAAGCAGCCGTCGGAACGTCAACGCTGCAAATGTATTCTGAGTCAGCGTTCTTCGTTGCAAGGCCCGCACGGGGCCACTGTTAGCCAACTGGTGGCCTTTAGTGCCGCCCCTGACGCACCCCATCATCATCATCGTGCTGCTGTCAAACCTCCCCAGTGGTTTCAAATGTGTTGGCGGCCCCTCACACTACTGATGATGTCTTATCGGCGAAAGTGGCCCCCCTCTGAAAATAAGTGAAGAACACTGGGATGGAGTGTTGCCCCCTCACTTGCATGGGTTTCCTTCGGATGATCCGGGTTCCTTCTACGTGTGAAAACATCTTAATATATAGAGGACTCGAGAGCTTGGGCAATTGTTGGTGGCCCCGGCTAACCGCCTGGCAACCTTCCAGCTTATATGTAGTTCGCACTCGGCGATTCTGAGATGCAATTTGCATGAAATACACTAAAACAACTAAACATTATTATCTATGGGACCCCTTTTTGCCAATATAAGATGATAAAAAAAACTTGCCTTTACTATTTCTGCCAGCCTTGTTCTTTTGTTATCATTATCATTGGCCGTGACCTATCCACCGCTGGATGCCTCCTCAAACAGTCGCCATCTCTCAGGGTCCTGGCGTGCAAATGGCTGTACACTGTGGATACATTCTGGGTCAAATTCCCAAACTGCTGCCTGCGATTTCAGAGACAATAGCCGTCACACTTCTGTCGCTGACTTTCCTGACAATTGTTATCGGCCAAGCTTCCTTGGGAAATCGCCTGCGTTTGTCCCGAACACAACAATAGACGCGTCGGGAAAGAATTGACGCTGGCGAGTTGAAACCTGTTGATGTGTTGTCACGGCAATGTCGCGTGACTGAAAACTGAGTACAATTGTGGCACTGCTTTGGGAAAACCGTCGCTTAGGGTAAACATCGCGTTCATCTTCTGTCTTCTCAGCCATTAGCTTCCCACTGCTGGGCAAAGCAACAGGACGTTGCTCACCCACGCTGCTCGCTATTACCAACCTGCACTGACCAGTGTGGTGAAGTATGGACAGATAACCACCTTGACCCACGCGGCATGATGATCATTCTTAGAGCCGCTATACATTTCCACGTAATAAGCCACTTTGTCGAGCTATCGTTCGTGTCCAGGTCGCCTCTGAAAAGAATAATACCTCAGTGGGCTCTACCCGGTAGGACTCTTTGGTTCTTTCAGTACAGTCACTTAGAAAGAAAATAACTTAAATAATAGAATACGACGTTTCGATTGCAACACAAGCAGTCGTCATCAGGTAGAAAACAAAACCTAGCGAACTTTTACATTTGAGAGAGACAAAACACAGACACGGAGACACACAGACAGACACACAAGCAGAGAGAGACAACACAGAGATACACAGAGAGACAGAGACAGTAGGTAGGATTAAAAGAGTTCAGTTTTATTTGTATCTTTTTAAAAGTGATTTGTTTACCTTTACTATACTTTGCACTCCTATAGTGTTTCTGTGTTGCTTGTTGTTGTAACGTTCTGACCCGCCCCTGCTGGACATCTGGGAAAAAATAGCTTTATAGCTCATCGGATTCTTCCGGTATCAATAAAAAAATATATTCTGATGGAGAGGCCCTTATCTAGCAGTCGATTGAAAAAATAGGTGTGCGTGTACATGGACACACACGAGCACTGACGGGGATAGAACTACACAGGGACTTTGTAGGATTTTCATTGAGATGTATAAGGGGCCAGGGGTGATCGATAAGCTGAATTGGTCTGTAATAATGTAAGGGGCACTGCAGTACAAGGGTTTGATAGGCGTGTCATCGGACAATAACGAATTCCATCTCTTTCGCAGTACGGTATTAAGTTTCCTATGATCACTGTTACATTGCTTTTATGGCTTTATTTTGGTGAAAACGTTTTTTGGTTTGGCCATGTTTGTTTGTTGTAGTACGGAGTTAGACCGATGGCCTTAATCTAAGTTGTCTTGTGGTTGTTGTTTGACTTGCATTCCACTGGGATTTTTGCACACAGCGTTGGTATACGGTGCCTTTTCTGGAATATTTTGCTGTTTTTTCCCTGGATTTTCTGTTTGCACAGTCACACATAGTCACTTTAAGATGTTTTCTTGTTCATGTTTTTTGTTTATTGCGGTTGCACTCGATTCAAGAGCCGAATGGCTCACAGGGCTATACCAAAATAAATGAAACTGAAACTGAAACAGTCCACTTTTAGTATTACTATTCGCATTGAACAGGGTCCCATAGTTTACGTGGAGTACTCTTGCAAATAATATGTCGTTATCCAGCAGCATGCCTTTAACAATCCTGACTCTACCGATGATGTTGTAACCATATAGTTGCAAACGGTTCAGAATTTGCTTGCATTTCCATTTGATCATGTTGGTCTGAAAAGCCAATGGTTTAACAAGTCTGACTCTGATAATTGTTTTTTTTTACCATTTTATCTGGCAACAAAACTGAAACCTTTTTTTTACAAGGAATCATGTTTGCATTGATCACAATACCTGCGGTCGGAATGCAAACAAAAACACAACTCTGATAACCTTCTTGGTTCTTTCAGTAAAGTCACGTAGAATGAGAATAAAACAATAAAACAAAATAAGACAATTAAATTCTCACGACGTTTCGGCCACAACACAAGTAGCCTTCTTCAGGTGAAGGAACAGAACTGTCGGGACGACAGACAATGCACCATCAGAGTATGAGTGCTCGGGGTAAGCATTTACACCACTGGAACCTCATATTTTGCTACTGGAAAAGGAGGTTCCAATGGTGTAAAGTCTGACTCTACTGATCAGGTGACCCATAAAATAGCAACCGGTCCAGAGTTTGCTTGCGTTAATACATTTTCTACTTAATAATTTTGTTCTGAAAAGCCAAAAGAGGCAATGCACTCAGCCATAAATTTGCCTTTTTAAACATAATTTCCCACCAATGGCCACTGATGATAAGACCCATAAAGTAGCCACCGTTACAGAGTTTGCTTGCACATTCATACTCGATAATGTTCGTCTGTAAAGCCAATAAGCCAATGGACTAAACTATAACTCTGCCTGTTTAAAAAAAAAAAATTGTACGCTTAATTTTGTCGAGTGTCACCGCAGAGTTCACGGCGTCGCTGCTCGGCAGCGGAGGCTACCGGCAAAGAGAGGACGGCGAGGCCTCGGTCGCAGTCATTATTGAGGAGGAGGACGAGGAGGAGTTGGAGGTGGGGAAGGAGGAGGAGGAGGAAGGCATCGACCTCATCGCCGACGGGAAAGCCCTGGAGCCTCAGAGCTGCAGCAACAGCTCCATGGCAAAATCGACGGTGCAGAAGCTGCCCAGGCAGCTGGTCGGAGACGGCCCCGGTGCCCTCGAGAAGAGAGCTCCGCGCTGCAAACGCATCGATGCCCAGGGAGCACAGGTGTGTGTGTGTGTGTGCGTTTGTGTTCATCATCGTCACGTGTTAACATCACCGCTAGGGAGACAAAGGCGGCCGGCCGTGGTGCTGGCCACCCACGCCCCCATCGTGTGCCGTGCCGGCCTTCATCGGTGCACGCTAACAGCACTTGCCCCAAATTGCCTGTTAAGGCTACACGGGGAGCATGTGTCTTTGTGTACGTCAGGGTGGGATGGATAGAGCGGTGGGCGCAGTGGGTGGCTCAATGCCCGACAGAATTGCAGAGTTGCTAGATTTAAATTTCCGGCCACAGTCACTCCTACATCGGTGGTGGATATCTGCAGTGGTCATGGGCCTCCCCTAGGTCGACTCAGCCTCAAATGAGTATCTGGTGCGGTGTGTAAACAACTCCGCTGGGGAGGCAAAGGCGGTCGGGCGTGGTGCTGGCCACCCCCCCCCCCCTCGTGTGCCGTGCCGGCCATCATAGGTGCTCGCTAACAGCACTTGCCCCAACAGTCTGTTCGAGGCTATTCGGGGGGATCGTTGTCCTTGTTTTGTTCGTCGTCATCATCAGCCGTGGTCTATCCACTGCTAGATGAAAGACTCACACCTGGACAACAACCCCTTGTCAGTGCCCTACCTTATTACAGACCAATTCAGAGCTTATTGGTCACCCCGTGCCCCTTATAAATCTCAACGTTCATCCTACAAAGTCTCATCACAAACACAAACAAATTGGCAAAAACTTGTTTTTTTTGCCCGTATTGAAACGGCTGTACGCCGTATGGACCTGATAACTCAATTCCCCCCCCCCCCCTACAAGAATGTGGGGTAAACCGTGTGGGTTGACACGGTATGGAGACTCCTCAAGCCGTAGCTTATTCCTCGCGGTCTTGCGACGAATAATATTACCAGCCCATTTTTGCACATGCGTGCATTTTCCGGGCTCTCCCCCATGAAGAACACGAACCAAAAATCGCAGGTGCTTGATTAATCACAGGCCACGTGTAAAAACCCGCCCACCGCCCGGCTATAACGGTACCATCTTTAAGTGAAACATGATTTATACATTTTGATTCGAAGCTTTCGTGACTGCAGGAATCCATAGTCTTTGGTTCTTTCGAGTAAAGTCACGTAGGAAAAATAATAAAGCACGGACGTTTCGATCGCCACACAAGCGGTCGTCCTCAGGTGTGGCGATCGAAACGTCGTGATCTATTATTATTATTATTTTCTACGTGACTTTACCGAAAGAACCAAAGAGGATTATTTAGACAGTTTTTTTTTCAAAATGTTATTTTGGCCAAAGCTGCTCCGCGTACAATGCGCACATCCGTGTCTCCCACACCTCCCCCACCTCAACGCACATTCACAGGGAGGTTTGGCTCCGGCCAAGTTCAAGTTGATTTTGTATTTTTTTTTACCAAGGCGAGGGCTCGAGGGAGAGCAGGATATTAAGTTCGCCTCGGTGTGCGCGCGTGGCCTTTGTGCCACCGAAATGACGAGAGGCAAGCGGGAACAGCATGAAGCGCCGTGCGTACAGCGATGGAGTAGCTTGAAATCGGGGCAGAAAAACAACAGCTTCAACTGCGTCACATGACAAAAAGATACATATTGCACAAACATAAAATACATACAGTGTATATTAAATATATATATATTTTAAAATTCCCGGAGTGAAAGTTGGCCCCCGGAAAGATTATTTGTAGACTGACCCCGGTACAGCCTGTTCTCTTAAAACGCGGTCCGTAGTTTCGTTCCTGAAGAACACCGCGTTATGGAAAAATCGCGTTGTAATAAATAATATATAATACAGGGGTAAAGCACAGTCGGCGATAACGCGTGAGATGCGTACGCAGGCCGAACAAAGACTGAGGCGCGTGGGTAGCGTCTAGAAGGATCCAGCAGCATCCCGCCTTGTGCGACGGCGCTACGCCGAGGCAGCCGTACGACCGCTCGTTTCCTGCTCGCGCGACGTAGTTCCGTTCACTCGATCGCGTTATATCCAAATTCGCAACCGCGTTAAAAACAAAAATGCGTTCCCCCAATACATTAATCGCGTTATATCCGATTGGCGTTTTGAAAACTTGCGGTGTTATAGGAGAACAGACTGTATCATTAAGTTACAGAATACCTGGCTAAGGAGCGGCCTGGCTTTTCCGTATCCCGACAACAGCGGGGATCGCTCTTTAGAGCGTCAAAGGCAAAGATCCCCCGGGTAGCCTTAATAGACTGTTGGGGCAAGTGATCTTAGTGAGAAGCACATCAACAGTGTCCCAACAACAACGATAAATGAAAGGATTCCCTCTATAAATGGAAGAGACAGGGACTCACCAAACTGAGAATGTGCTGAGTTGTAGAAAACTATAAAACGCACACTATTCTAGCCTGTTACTCTTTTTTCCAAACGCCTTGTGAATGATTGATGATGATGATGAAGAATAAGTAGAAAATCAGACGCTTTAAACAGATATAGAGTGACCATTGAACGAATATGTAAGCCGGCAAAGAAATATATATGCCGTCCGACATTGTGAGGGAAGTTATCGTAAGAGAATCAAGAGTTTAGCATTAAATCGAGCCACTGACCACATTGCCGCAAGAGCCAAAAGCGGTAGTTGGTTACGCCAGCTGGAATGGAAAATTATAAAGCTTACACCGCGGGTAGTATCCACCAACATGAGCAGAAAGTTTGGTGCAAATACTGTGGGTTTCTTTTTTTAACGTACAATTCTATTTATGTTTTTAGCTGTGTATGGCACATTGCGACCTCCGGGTGAGAGGTGGGTTGATAGTGTGGATTGTTATCATTATCACACGCGCGATATTGTGACAAAAAAATAAGAATAGGTTTTTACCCTTTGTTGCTATTAAAACAGGAGGGAGGTGTTAAGAAAACACCAAATAGATATTACAACTTTTGCAAGGCATCAAGTCTGCGTTAACCACACGTGGTTGTGGCAAAACATACCAACACGCTTGCCGTGATAATACATTCTGATTCATTGATCTCAAGGGAAATAATACGCAAGGGAAAGCATGTTCACGTATTTATTTGTTTTCGTTTTGAACAAGTTACAACGAATGCAGTATGGATGACAAAAAGCGAAAACTAAAATAATCCGCGAACGTTTTTGGGTTATGATGAAAAAGTAAAGAGTAGGGTTTACCCTTTCTGGCGAATGAAACAGTCGTGAAGATGTTCTTGGTTCTTTCGGTAAAGTCACCACGTAGAAGGGAAACAATAAAATAATAAAAAAAAATTTTTGTATTGTTTCCCTTCTACGTGGTGACTTTACCGAAAATATTATTGTATTGTTTCCCTTCTACGTGGTGACTTTACCGAAAGAACCAAGAATATGAATCCCTGCAGTCACGAAAGCTTTAAAGTTGTGAAGATGTTCAAGCACCAAAAAAATTACCTTTTGTCAAGGCATCACGTCTGCGTTGACCACACACACACAGACTAGCAAGGGCTATAGTGCTGCTCACCATTACACACCGGCATATGGACGCTTCTTGCAAAATTGTACATTTCCCATTTGAGAGTGTCGTTGTTATTCTTAGCTCGTTCGGTGAAGTCACGTTGAAGGGAAACATTAAATAATGATATATATATAAAACAATGAAAATTCTCACGACGTTTCGACCATAACACAAACGGTCGTCATCAGGTGTGACGACCGTTTGTGTTATGGTCGAAACGTGAGAATTTTTATTGTTTTATATATTCTTTATTATTTTATTGTTTCCCTTGAACGTGACTTTATTGTTTCCCTTCAACGTGACTTTACCGAAAGAGCTAAGAATATGAATTACTGCAGTCACGAAAGCTTTAAATCAAAATTTAGTGTTGTTGTTATTTGAGTCTGATTGCTTTACTTAATTGCTGTTCGTTTGCATTGGTCGTTGTTGGTGTCGCAGGTTGATTGCCAACGAGAGATATGGGGCCGTCCATAAATGACGTCACGCACCTGGGGGGGGGGGGGGTAAGACATTTGTGACGATGTGTGACGATGGGGAGGGGGGGGTGAGAAATGTGACGTCACATCAAAATGCGCAACTTTAAATAAATATAGACAACACGTTCTACTTATATTCTTAGTTTTTTCGGTTATTTTGTTGTTTCTCTTCAACGTGACTTTACCGAAAAAACTAAGAATATGAATTACTGCAGTCACGAAAGCTTTAAATCAAAACGTTCTACTTAATTAAATAGACTTTTTTTAAATAAATGTTTTCTCCTACAACATCAGAGTGCAGCGCGACATTAAATACGCACTACAATGACAATAGTTTAAAGCGGTTTGAAGCATGTTTTATTTGGGGGGGGGGCAGAGCTATTTGAGGGGGGTGGGGTTTGACTGTTTGTAACGCCGTGTGACGAAGGGGGGAGGAGTCAAAAATCGTCCAAAATTGCGTGACGTCATTTATGGACGGCCCCTATCTCTGTCCCGGTATTATCTCAAGTTAATGGTAAACGCAAACTTGAACTACTCACGTAGGCTGCAGAGTTGGCATATGCTGCCCTCTGCTGAGCGACTCTGAGTATCACTCTTCTACAACCAATTACTTAAATTTTGATTTAAAGCTTTCATGACTGCAGGGATCCATACTGTTTGGTTCTTTCGGTAAAGTCACGTGGTAGGTATAAAGTATAAAATAAATTAAATCACGACGTTTCGGACGCAACACAAGCGTCCGTCATCAGGCGGGGCAACCACAGCAAGAAGCAATCGCTGAAGTAGGCAACAGAGCCGCTACATTGTTATCGCGGCATCTCTTGCGGAAGGTTAGCGACTCGATTAGTTGCGCTTTCTTGTCCCGTTGTCTGCTAAAAGCTCTAACAGATGTGTGGAAACCCTCCCCGTAGAGGCGGTTCATTCTATATTTGAAGTTTTCGTGACTGCAGGGATCGAATTACTGTTTTGGTCATTGGGGAGATGGCCTCGTACATCAGTGGTCTTTATTGCAAGGGCGCGCGTGGGCCACTGGCGGTCCCTGGTGGCCTTTAGTGTGGGCCACTGACAATTCACAAAACGTGAGAACCTCATCATCGTGCTGTTGTAAAACCCAACAAATGGTTTCAAATGTGTGGCGGACCTCACACTGACGATGTCTTATCGGCGAAAGTGGCTCCCCCCGCCCCCTCTCTGAAATGTAGCAAAGAGCAACTGTCCTAAAGGAATTCATCAGGCATCGGCTAGCGTAATTGTTTGGTGATCCTGCATTGGCAGTTGTGCACAAGGACAAATTACACAATGGGTTAATAAAACTGTGGCCATGAAATGAAAAATACGTAATAGATTACTTTTTTTTGCAATAGCCCTCCTTCTTCCTTTATGTGCTATGATGGGTTATTGCCCGAAACCTTGCCTATTCTATATATGTTCATTCTACTATGGGATCGCTTTGAGATGTTTGAACGCTTGGGTGTCGCGCGTTGATGTCTCTATTCGTGTCGCTCAGCGCTCTTCACTACTTTGGCCGATAAGACATCATCAGTGGTGTGAGCACACATTTTGAAACCATCATTGGGTTTGACAGCAGCACGGTGACGATGATGATGGTGATGATGATGGGGGGTGTTGTGTCAATATTTGTGTTTTGTGTCGGGGGACCGCGCACGTCAGCGGCCGCGCTAAAGGCCACCAGGGGCCCCCAGTGGCCCGTGGGGGCTTGCCATGGAGAACGCCGTTGTGTTGTGGTGTAAGCAGGGTGCAACTTCTGATTCTATAGTTTCTGGAACACTGCAAGGCCCGTTAATTCTACACAGTAGTATTGTACCCTGTATTCCTACACACAACTGCAGTGTAATGAGTGCTCTATAGACCAGTTGTTCTTAACCTTTACTGCAGCATTTGCATCCCTTTTAAAAAAGAAATTACAATGTTAATAAATACATATGGTTTGATTAGACAATGTAGTTGTACTCACGTGCCCGTGCTTAATTTGTCTTTTGGATTATTTACCTTCTAAAAAGATCTGGCCATGTCTCGCACTCCCAGAAAGGGCATCTCGCACCCCAGATTAAGAACCACTACTATAGATCTCTGTGTTCCCATCTGCCTACGACTGACTTCCTTTTTATGTCCAGTAAATGAAATGAATATGCCCACTGTTCATGTACAGTGTCTTGAGGTGTGCTCGCATTTAGATGTAAATCGTATTGTATAGACTCACACGGAGACCTACAGACTCGCACAGGGGCCCATATACTCACACAGAGACCCAAGGATTAGTGTAGGAACCCATAGACTCACATCGAGACTTGGGACTTGAACGCCTCTCTGCAAAATAAATATGCCCCGCCGTGTCTGCGTAGCGTCTTGAGGTACAATGCCTTGCTGATATTGTCAAGGAGCTTAAACCATCACGGGAATTCTGGTCATCACCGCAGCAGCAGCGGCTTTGGGCTAGCCATCGGTCACCGCATCGCACGCTTTCAGATGCGGCCGTCTGGAACGCTCTTCCTTCCGATATTTGGAAGCCACTGGAGCTATGCACTTTTAAATCTCGATTGAAAATAATTTCTTTACAACTGTTTCTTGTGTTTAGTTTAGTGCCCCCGCACCTCCCATTAGCAGGGTTGGCTACATACGGTGCAAAATAAATTTAACATCCATCCATACAAATCTGGAAATCTGACATCCTAAATAAAGGTTAATTCGAAACTCACACTTATTACATACCAGCGCAGCAAATGATCCCAGCAGTGGGCTATACCGGCCACCAGAAAACCCACCACATTCAACACTACGTACGGTGAAGAAGAAGTTTAACATCCATACGATCCATATAAATCTACGTTGCAATCGCATTGTATGAACTAAAAATAAACTATTTTTATTTCACCAGGTAAGGCCCACTGAGCCATATAGCTCTTTTTCAGAAGCGATCTGGTCGCAAATTATTTCCCAACAAAGTGGCTTATCACGTGGAAATGTATTGTAGCCAAATGCTCTAAACGAATGTTTCTAAATGCGGAGGTGAAAATCCCAGAGGGCCCGGAGAAAAATCCAAATTCACGGGCGTCAGGGTCGAGGTCGAACCCACGACGTGCCGTACACCAGGCGAGGTTGTTAACATCTCACCACCGCGGCGCCCATTCACCCTCCCCGCACCATCGCAGGCAGCCGCCCCCATGGCCGGCAAGTACAAGCGGCAGCGCTACGTGACCAAGGATGGAAAGTGCCGCGTGCGGTTGGGCCACATCCAGGACAAGATGCGCTTCCTCTCCGACATGTTCACCACCATCGTTGACCTCAAGTACCGCTGGTTCCTCGCCATCTTCACGCTCTGCTACCTGCTCACGTGGCTGCTCTTCGGGCTCGTCTACCTGCTCATGGCGCTCATCCGAGGTGACCTCGACCCCCAGGAGGGGCACCAGGCGTGCTTCGACAACGTGGACGGCTTCCTCGGCGCGCTGCTCTTCTCCGTCGAGACTCAGCGCACGATCGGGTACGCCGACGGCCAAGAGCCGGGCCGTCCCACTGACCACGGCGTACTGATTGCACCGAATTCTGATTCTGCTTTCCGCGGAGTTTCTATGCCCACCCCCCCTCCCCCCCCACCTTGCTCGCCCGTCGCCCCCCTCTCTCCGTTCCGCGATCAGCGTGTTTTGCACGGGGCTCCTGGCAATTTAGTTTACTACTCCGGCACGCCGGAGTAGTAAACTGATCGTCACGTGTTCGTTCACGTGACAAAACCTTGCTGGTTGGCAGCGTCGGGTCGGTGGCGGGTTTAACGACGGCACACGATCTTGATGTGAAGCTTTCGTGACTGCAGGAATCCACACTCTTTGGTTCTTTCGAGTAAAGTCACGTAGGTATAAAAAAATAATAGATCACGACGTTTCGATCGCAACACAAGCAATCGTCATCAGGTGGGACAAACACAGCAAGAAAAAAACTGCTTCAGCTGCTTAAGCAATTTTTTTCTTGCTGTGGTCGTCCCACCCGATGACGATTGCTTGTGTTGCGATCATTTGATTGCCATCTAACCCAACATAACAACAACAAAATCCTTACTACGGGGGAATATTGCCTGGTGCAGCTTCCCGCTGCACGTTAAGGCGATCGTCGCCTCCGTTCTGCCCCAGGTACGGCACGCGGTCGGTGACGTCACAATGCCCCGAGGGGGCCATCTTGGTGATGGTGCAGTCCATCCTGGGCTCGATCATCGACGCGCTCATGGTGGGCTGCATGTTCGTGAAGATCGCGCGGCCCAAGAAGCGCGCCGAGACGCTCGTGTTCACGCAGCACTGCGTCGTCTCGCAGCGCGACGGCCACATCTGCCTCATGTTCCGCCTCGGCGACCTGCGGGACACCCACCTCGTGGGCCCCAACATCCGCGCCAAGCTCGTCCGCTCGCGACAGTCCAAGGTGCCCGCCGCCGCCGCCGGCGCCGCCGCCGCCTCGACGCTGCCGACGCCGCCGTCTCCACGAAAGAGACGGCGGCGACGCGATGTTGTTCAATTTGATTCTTCTTTTAACTCCTCTCTCTTCGTCTTCTTTATCTTCTTTCTCTTCGTCTTTTGTATCTTCTTCCTTTCTTTCTTATTTCCCTTCCTCTTCTTCTTCTTTATTATTTTCTTTATCGTCTTATTTTCCTTCTTCGTTATCTTCTTATCCTTTATTTTTTCTTTTTTTCTTTATTTGCATCTTCCTCTTCTTCTTTATCTTTGTATTCTCCTTCTTTATCTTCTTCTTGATCTTCTTTTTCTTATTCTTAGCTCTTTCGGTAAAGTCACGTTGAAGGGAAACAATAAAATAATAAAGTATATGTAAAATAATAAAAAATTCTCACGACGTTTTTATTGTTTTATATATATTTTTTTTTATTTTATTGTTTCCCTTCAACGTGACTTTACCGAAAGAGCTAAGAATATGAATTACTGCAGTCACGAAAGCTTTAAATCAAAATTTTAATTCTTTTTCTTCTTTATTTTCTTCTTTATCTTCCTCCTCTTCTCCTTCATCTTCTTCTTTATCTTATTAATCTTCTTCCTCTTCTTCTTAACTTCTTCTTGATCTTCTTCCACTTCCTCTTGTTGTTCTAGCAGAGAGGTCGGCAACCCGCGGCTCCGGAGCCGCGTGCGGTGGCTCTTTAAGGACCGCTTCGTGACGTTGTTTATTAAGGACCCACCGTGCATTGCGGCTCGTGAAATATTGAGGGGTTTTTTTAACCCTAATATTTTCATTTCATTTGTCTCGTCATTTCAATTGCCCTGTCATTTCAATTGCCCTGCCAATTCATTTGTCTCGTCGTTTCAATTGTCTCGTCGTTTCAATTGTCTCGTCATTTCCATTGTCTCGTCGTTTCAATTGTCTCGTCGTTTCAATTGTCTCATTTCAATTGTCTCGTTGTTTCAATTGTCTCGTCGTTTCAATTGTCTCGTCATTTCAATTGTCTCGTCGTTTCATTTGTCTCGTCGTTTCAATTGTCTTGTCATTTCAATTGTCTCGTCGTTTCAATTGTCTCGTCATTTCAATTGTCTCGTCGTTTCAATTGTCTCGTCATTTCAATTGTCTCGTCGTTTCAATTGTCTCGTCGTTTCAATTGTCTCGTCATTTCAATTGTCTCGTCGTTTCATTTGTCTCGTCATTTCAATTGTCTCGTCATTTGAATTGTCTCGTCGTTTCAATTGTCTCGTCGTTTCAATTGTCTCGTCATTTCAATTGTCTCGTCGTTTCATTTGTCTCGTCATTTCAATTGTCTCGTCGTTTCAATTGTCTCGTCGTTTCAATTGTCTCGTCATTTCAATTGTCTCGTCTTTTCAATTGTCTCGTCGTTTCAATTGTCTCGTCATATCAATCGACCTTATAATTCCAATTGTCTCGTCATATCAATCGTCTCGTCATATCAATCGTCTCGTCATATCAATCGTCTCGTCATATCAATCGTCTCGTCATATCAATCGTCTCGTCATATCAACCGTCTTATAATTACAATTGTCTCGTCACTTCGCTGCACCCGTCATTCCCATTTGCCCCGCGTCACTCCCTCCAATCGCCCCGTCACTTCAATCGTCTCGGGGGCGGCAGGAGGGTGAGTTCCTGCCGCTGGAGCAGTCGGACATCAACCTGGGCAGCGAGACGGGGAGGGACAGCCTCTTCCTCGTGGAGCCTCTGCTCATCTACCACGTCATCGATGCGAGCAGCCCGTTCTGGGAATTCTCGGCGGAGTCGCTGCAGCACGAGGAGTTCGAGATCGTGGTCATCCTTCAGGGGACGATTGAAGCCACCGGTACGAGCTCTGAAACAGCTCACCAATTACGGAACGAGTTGTACAACAAAGATGAGCGGAAGACAATTTTTTCGCGCAGGTGAAGACGTAATCCTCCAAGATAAGCCGCCCATGGCGAGAGTGTACTTTGTTTTTTTTTATAACATATGATATAGTATGGTCAAAACAATAATGAAGTTAACATGCTGTGCATAAATGGTTATCTATGGTATAGCATGAACACGGTAAAAGTGTCTTCCCTATCGACTGATTTGACATTCATAATGCAGGATTTATTGGGGGTTAGATCGCGTACTGGTAATGTACGCCGATTACCGTATGAATAACCTAACCGGGTAATGATAACCCATTGCAATGTATATGCATTGATTATTCTCCCCCCTGCCACCCTTTGCACGTGAAGGGCTCACAATCGATGCCATCACAACCACCCCTCTATTTAAGGAACTAAACAGGAGGAGGATTTCTACACAAATGTGGCTGTCCGCCTGATGGTGCCGGTTGTAATTACTGGCGAAACGTCGTACGACAGATTGTAAATGTTGTGGCTTTGTTCTCCAACGCACCGGTGTGCTGTACTAGAAACGAATTTGCACGTTCTGTTTACGTGACAAACCTTACAAATTGGCTGTGTCGGGTGGTGGCGGGTTTAACGACACATTTATATATTTATGAGAGAAACCCCCCAAAAACACCTGTATTGTGGATGATATTGGTCGCGAAAGCCTACGTGTTAAACTGATTTGACATTCCAAGAACCTACCAAACGTCCTGGCTTGGCCAGAAAACTCTCGACTTTAGAACGGCCGCCTCGATGCCCTGAAACGTTTAAAATGTCTGGCCTCATGCTCAGCTCACGACGATCCGGGCAAAGGGCGGAGATATCAGAGTCGTGGTCGGGGCATTTGAGCAAATAGTTGGAAGCCAGGGTCGCAACTATCAATTTCCAAGGGGGCTGGGTATGCAAGATACGACTTCGCCCCCCCCCCCACCCCCTCCTTTCTCCCGACTCACTTTTACTGAAATTGCTACGGGATGTTTTTTAACCACGTACACGCAATAAGATGTTAGGCTATAATTACATATTATTTTAGTTGCACCGTGTATTGGGTTTAGAGGAAGACTGTCTCATAGTGACAGTATTAATGAAAAAAATATTTAAAGGTTACAAGATTCACAAGTAGGTTTTCGTGTGTCTTGCTTTCATGTCGGGCCATCGATCTAGGATGTCCTCAAAGGGGGTGGACTTTATGCCGATCCATTGAAACGATAGCCAGATTGCGTTAATCGGGCTTGGTCCATTACCGCAGGTAATTTTTTTGAAATAATTTAACGTTGAACATTTTTTTGTTTGTAAATTTTTTTATAAAAAAAAATTGAACTCGTTTATCTGTTGATTCGGGGCCCACCTTGTGGTCGACTGGCCCCTATGCGTCACGTAACGCTGCCACATACCCCCCGCTATAGTTGTGCCCCTGGGTGGAGTGAACGTCAGAGTGGGATTGGCCAACTTTGTGGCGCTAGCAGTTGAGTTAGGCGTGGTTATGTAAAAGTAGGCGGGGCCACCAGCTCACCATGTGGCCTGGTTGAGCCTCCCAAAAAAAAAGATTGGTTGCTTTTAACGTAAATATAAATGTGTCGTTAACCCACCATCACCCGAAACAGCCAATTAGTAAGAGTGGTCACGTAAACAAAACGTGCCGATTGTTTACTACTCCAGCACTAACCGATTGTGTGTTGGAGAGTAAACCCACAACAGTAACATTTCAGCACACACCGGTGTACTGAAGTAGTAACGAATCGGCACATAACGTGACAAACCTCACTACTGTAATTGGCTGTGTCGGGTGGTGGTAGGTCAACGACACGTTTATATCAAACGCGATATAACCTAATGAAAACCCCTTTATTACGGGTAATATTGGTCGCGAAAGCATACTACCCACTCCGTGTTAAACTGAGCTTTTAACGTGCCAGCAAACACGCGCACACTCCAAGGCAACGGAGCAGCAACAACATCGTTTAAACGCTCAATTCGCCCGTAACGCGCTTCCACCACCCCACCAGGTATGACGTGCCAGGCGCTGACGTCCTACACCAACGACGAGATTCTGTGGGGCCATCGCTTCGAGCCAGTGATGTCGCTGGTGAAGGGCGCCTTCAAGGTAACGGGCTTGGCAGTGTAAGCGAGCAAGGAAGCCGGAGAGGATTCTTTTTGTTTGTTTTTGTCCGAGTAACTTTTAGCCTCCAAAAAAACCCGGCGTGAGTTAGATGCATATTCACGGGGTGGGAAATGAAAGGCGACAAGTGAGTATAAAGCTCTCGGTGCGATGTAGCGCCATTCACACAAGTCCCTCTCACGTCGCTTTACAAGACAATCCCAGTAGGAGAAAGAACCCCCCCCCCCCGTAACATTAAAACTAAGAGGGTATACGACCCCTACACTGACGGATATGCAAGGGAAAATAAACGTGTTTTCAGATGAGCCCTAAAAAACCTCGACTGACAGAGCATCTCTGAATGCATGAGGATTTTAAATAAATAATCGACCAACATTTCTTGCTAATTCATAATAAAGAAGAATGAACCTCACTGAAATGAAACTCTTTCCACATCTCCGCAGGTGGACTACAGCTGCTTTGAGAACACGTACGAGGTGAACCTGCCGACCTGCAGCGCCAAGGAGATGTACGAGAAGCAGCAGGCTGCCCTAGGCCTCATCTAACATCACCGGACGGCAGGGGCCGCCCAGAATGGGTCAGTGGGGCGGTTGGGCAAAATTGTCCATTTGCCACTTTTGCCCCAAACAGGGCCCAACAATTGGCATGGTGACATTCTGTGTTCTGGGCCTTCCCAAGAACCTGGAGGTGACCCTGCTGGATGGTTCCACCAATGCTATTATATCGACTGGAGTTGGGACGATTTGTCAGTTAGGTCAATGAATGAGTCCATTGGGTCAAGTCATCGATAAAATGGTGGCCACCCCTACATTCCGTCTCCCAAAGGTGAGAAACCCCTTTACAAGCTCCACACATCACCTTCCTCGGAGGTCAGAGCGTGGAGTTTGCACCACTGAGAGTTCATATCCGGGTTTTCTGCTGCCCGTGATTAAACTGTGTTCTCAATTGTCGTGAGTTGATGGTCTGTTTCAGCCCCGTAAACAATGACTGCAGAAAAGCACCACCCACGATATTCCATGTGGCTCTGTACTTAATTTGGCTATAATGCTAGCTTTGAAAATGAATTTTACTTTTGGTCTAACTGTCATATCACAAGCATTACTCACGGTAGGAGGCGGGTGAGAAATTACATTGTCGCCTGATGTCTTTAAGAGGTCACTAGAAGGTATTTCAGATGTGATCATGTAATGTCTACTTCCACGGATTGTTGTACTGTTCTCTCACACAGGGCGATGCACTTCTTTTTTTAGAGTTCTAAAATAGAATCCTAATATTCTTTGGGTCTTTCAGTAAAGTCACGTAGATAGGTTCAAATTAATAAAAAATAAAATAAACAAAAAAACTACGACGTTTGGATCACAACACAAAGCGACTCTCATCAGGAGGAAAAAATACGGCGATCGCTTGTGCTGTGATCGAAACGTCGTAGCTTTATTTTATTATTTTTTTATTATTTGAACCTATCTACGTGACTTCACCGAAAGACCCAAAGAATATGAATTCCTGCAGTCATGGAAGCTTTAAGTCAAGATTTAGAGTTTTAATGTACTACTTATGTATTTACTGTTTACTATTAAACGACTATTTTTATTTTACCAGGTAACACCCACTGATCTATATAGCCCTTTTTCAGAAGCTCAACCAAGTGGCTTATCGTGTGGAAATGTATAGCAACCAAATAATCTAAATGCATGTTTGTAAATGCGGAGGGAAAAAGCGGAGGACCCGGAGAAAAATCCACGCGACCACGGGGAGAACATGCAAACTCCAAATTTGCAGGCGTCAGCGTCGGGGTGGAACCCACAACCTCCTGTATACCCGGTGAGGTAGTTAAAATCTTGCCACCGTGGCACCACAACGGTGGTTGCCCGATATAAACACCGCTACGATAGGAATGTGGAAATTCCACCACTGGTTCAGGGCTTTAAACAGGATGTGAACATATTCTTGGTTCTTTCGGTAAAGTCACGTAGAAGGGAAACAATAAAATAATAAAAATATAAAACAATAAAATTCTCACACACCTGATGATGATTGCTTGTGTTGCAGTCGAAGCGTCGTGAGAATTTTATTGTTTAATATTTTAATTATTTTATTGTTTCCCTTCTACGTGACTTTACCGAAAGAACCAAGAATATGAATTCCTGCAGTCACGAAAGCTTTAAATCAGGATATGAACACTTAGGTATGCTTAAATGATGAGGCATGTATTTGACTTGTTTACGCAAGACAGCCTTGCTGAGTCTCAACACTCTTAGTATTTAGCATTTTGGAGTAAACTGGAGTATCCATGGAATACCCATACATGATTGGGTAACAGGTAACGATGCACACCAAAAGTCAATAATCGCTTGCTGTACTGCCACATGGCCACCTTGGAATCTACCAAGATTACACACACAAATGTACAATACTTCATTACTAGTTGTAAATAATAATACAAACATTTAATGTGTACATTAGCCACTGAGTGTAATGAATTTATAAGAGCGAATAAACATTTTAAACCGTAATTATATTTTATTTCCTCCCGCTGTCTAGTATTTATTTGCGCTGTTAATAAAATTGAGATTGTTTATGTGTGTGACTGTTTAAAATCCTCGAGGATGGTTAATCCAAGAGAACGGATGAAATGTTCTCTTTGGCTTCACTCCCATCACCACTGGCATCGAACATTTCAGTCCAGACAGGATATGGCTTGAACGCATTTTTTAGTTGCATCCTCATACTTGATTTCTTTCGGCTCAGTAAAATGCGTGTTGATGAACCCTCCACCACCCGACATCCAATTAATAAATTTGGCACGGGAACAAAACGTGCCAATGTGTTTATGCCTCAACACTGAAAGAAAGGTATGGCCATTAATCTCCCTCCCCTTCGCACGTGAAGGGCTCACGAGCGATGCCATCACAACCACCCCTCTATTTAAGGAACTAAACAGGAGGAGGATTTCTACACAAATGTGGCTGTCCGCCTGATGGTGCCGGTTGTAATTACTGGCGAAACGTCGTACGACAGATTGTAAATGTTGTGGCTTTGCTCTCCAACACACAACGGTGTTGCTGAACTAGTAACGAATGGGCCACGTTCTGTTTACGTGACAAACCTCACTAATTGGCTGCGTCGGGTGGTGGCGGGTTTAACGACACATTTATATTTATGCCAATTCGTTGCTAGTACAGCACACCGGTGTGTTGGAGAGTAAGCCCACTACGACATTTACAATCCGAGTACCGTGTCGTTTTGCCAGCAATTACAACAATCAGCATCATCAGGGGACAGCCAGATTTGTGTAAACATCCTATTATTCTTTGGGTCTTTCGGTAAATCAATTTATAACATTTTTGACATGCGTTTTTCTGGATTTTGTTGTTGTTATTCTATCTCTCACTGTTCAAATAAACCTACCATTAAAATTGTAGACTGATAATTTCTTTGTCAGTGGGCAAACGTACAAAATCAGCAGGGGATCAAATACTTTTTTTCCCTCACTGTAGGTCATCATCCTCCTGTTGTTTCGTTCTTAAATAAACGGGATAAATGTGATGTCATCACTTCGTGAATAAACCTTACTAATTGGCTGTGGCGGGTTTAACAACACGTTTATATTGACCCGATATAACCCTTTTCTGCCCCCCAAAATAAACCCTGTGTTACTTTAAAAAAAAATGAAATGCATGTCCATCTTCTGGAAGACGGTAGACCTCAATAAAACACGCAGGTAAAACATCTTCTGGAAGTGGAATACTGCACGGCGCTCCGTCCAATGCACAATAACAATCGCGGAAGATCACTCCTGGAAGAAGAAGATCCGCCAATAAAACAATAAAAAAATATTCCTCCGGAAGAAGAAGTTGACATCAAACGGCGGGCGTTTGATTCTGGAAGCGGAAGACGCTGCTAATAAAAAAAAACTGAATTTACATTCCGGAAGAGGAACTTCGGTAAAGTCACGTTGAAGGGAAACAATAAAATAATAATATATATAAAACAAAGAAACTTTCCGTTGACACCTGATGATGACCGTTTGTGTTATGGTCGAAACGTGAGAATTTTTATTGTTATATATATATTTTTTATTGTTTCCCTTCAACGTGACTTTACCGAAAGAGCTAGGAATATAACATTTACATAGCTACCGGAAGCCGAAGAAGCTGCCAATAAAACGTGAATGATTCTTCGGGAAGAGGAAGCGCCTTTATAACTCTACCGGAAGAAGCCGCAGGCCGCCGCTGCCAATAAAACGCAAAGCGTGATCTTCCAGAAGCCGCCGCGTCTTATCGCGAGATCTCGACTCTCGCGAGACTTCGCCCCTCACGAGATCTCGACTCTCGCGAGACTTCGCCCCTCACGAGATCTCGACTCTCGCGAGACCTCGCCCCTCGCGAGACTTCGCCCACATCCTGATTTCGTCTTCACCGAGGGCCGAGGCCGTTGTGAAAGCTCCAGCACCTCGGTGGCCTGCGCTTAACTTTATCTCAATAAAGAGGTTCGGTAACGCCACGAGTTCGCTGTCAGGCGGGGTGGGGGAGGTTATTATTATCGTCGTCGTTGATTTGAAGCTTTCTCGTCACCGCAGGAAATGCGTGCTCGCTGCTTCCTTCGGTTAAAGTCACGTAGGTAGGAAAAAATAATTATTATTAAATAAAAGAAAACACACGACGTTTCGGTCGCAACACAAGCGTCCGTCTTCGGGTGAGGAAAACATCTGCTGTTGCTGCTTTATACGGGCACGGGAGGTGAGAGTCAAGGGGAGTTTGGCTGTAGGAGCTCACGAGGGGAGAGAGGGGGGGGGGGTATCTACGTGACTTTACCGAAAGAACCAGAGAGTATTGTCATTGTCGTCGTCGTCGTCTGTGTGAAGGGCCTTGCTCTGTGGACGCGGGGGTGGTTACGGGTCGACAGAGACTGAGGAGGGCGAGCGGCAGAGTCGAGGGAGGACCGCGGCGATTTGACGTCATGTCGAATCGGACGGCGAAGCGGTTTCGGCTCATCCAGCGGTGGATCGAGAAAGCCCACGTTAATGTCACTGTTGTTTTTGTTCTGTGTGTGTGGAAGTTTGTTCAGGGCGTACTTGACCCCCCCTCTCTCCCCCCCTCTGCAGCCCGCCAGAGGCGCATACGTTCACCGTCACGTTGGACCCAATAAAAAAAGGAAATAGATGTTTTTTTAAATCGATTGGTGGAAAGTCATCGGGAGTTGGGGCGTGAAACTTGGCATTTCCAATTGAAGTAATCCATTCGCCTAACAGGTTCGATTACTCAATCCCCGGTAACGAAAATAGTTGAGGAATAAGGTCTCTTGCCCGTGTGTGCCGCTGGACGGGAGGTGTTGTGCGGGATCTGGCGACGTCATCAACTTATAATCAGCGTCACTTTCGTGGGAGGGAGTTGCCCGCCTTCTCGAGGGAGAGGGTTGGCCAACGTTTTTGGAAGGGGGTCTCGAGTACGGTTAATAAACTCCAGTATACAAATAAAAGTCTAGAACTTTCGTGTCGACTCATTGGCTTAGTCGACTTTGATTCATCCCACGTGTACTAAACACAATGGGAACGTCGATGACGATCTCGTAGAAAAGTCCTAGCCCGCGGTTGTGACAGCCACGTTAAACTGGGGTCTTCAAATGTCGCCTTGTGGTGGTTCAAGCCTGTTAACCAAATACTTAATGTACAAAAAAGAATTACACAAATTTGTCTTTGGCAATGCTCAGAGAATCAAATAAATGAAAACGGTTTAACATGCGAAACGAGCACAAACCATTGGATAATTCGATAAACTAACAATTGCATAAAGAAGGCCAAGTAACAATGCAAATAATTTATCTGGGAAAGCCCTCGCTAATAATTCATTTTGAGGCTTTCCATTTGGGATATGTTGCGGGTACAAAAGTGAGTGTTTCGCCGATGTGAATGCACACAAGGGAAAAGATACACTTTGAGAGCTCCACACGCCATTCTTCAATTAAGCAACTAACCAAATGTGTAACGGTGTACCGCTACTCGTCAATTTGCCACTGCCACTCCTGGCACCTCGCAGCCATGCACCCAACAGGACGTGCTATTTGTACAATTGGCCACGCACCCGAGGAATAACCAGGCTCGCATCTCCTTAACTTCTGAGACCTGATGAGATCGCATCTTTTCAGGGTACTTTGGTCAACGAGCCTATTGATGTGAATTTAGTAATAGATATTCTTGGTTCTTTCGGTAAAGTCACGTAGAAGGGAAACAATAAAATAATACAAATATAAAACAATACAATTCTCACGACGTTTCGACTGCAACACAAGCAATCATCATTTTATTGTTTCCCTTCTACGTGACTTTACCGAAAGAACCAATAATATGAATCCCTGCAGTCACGAAAGCTTTAAATCAAAATTTAGTAGTAGATATGCAGTCATTTTCTGGGTCTGTTCTTTTACTACTTTATACCAGTGTTCAGGATGGAATGTCTCGTGACATGGCCTGAATAACAATGGGAAAATTATTGGAAGATGAAGGCAAAAGCAGTATTTCCAGCGAGATAATCTGTATCGCTGTTATTAGATTTTGGTGGGTATATGATATATGATTTCGGTTATATATTTCCAATGAATGGGGGTTCACAATGAAAAATATATTAACTTGTTTTTCAAAAGCCCTACAGAGAAAACACGAGCTTGTATGGCATTTAAAGAAAAATAACGATAGAAGTAATGTTAATGAACAGCCCTTTGTCTATCCAATGCGGAATGAAGACTATCCTTGGTGCGTCGGTTGTAGGTTTGTTTCACCACCATTCTTCAACACGCTAGTCAGTACGGATTGGTAGGGGTGGTGGCCCAGAAACCACAGTGGGTATACCGCTTGCCACTTCTTAGCCGTGGCCATTCAACAAACTCGGTCGCCAAGTTCACATTGCAGTGCGCTCACTACAGGTTAGTTTTTATGCAGAGTATTGTTTTTAAAATTAAAATATTGACAAATTTGCACAGCAAGACATGGTCAATTACTTTCGATGTCTTAATTTATGCTTAAATTGTCACCCGTGTAGTGCAGGTCCATTTAATTCAGGATGAATCTGGAGCGGGTCACCAATGAAGACAAGCTCAGCCTCTGCAGGAAATACTACAGAGGTATGGTATCGACGCGAGTGTGAAATAACGTCCGTGTCTTCTTTTTCAGTTGGCGGACACCTCACCAATAAAAGTGAACACGTCACCCCAATTCGCTCCAGTCAGTGCTGGATCAACATCTCGATCCCACCACCTCGTCCTTGCCTATCTCTCCTCATCGCATTCTACTTTCCTCTATGCACGCTGCTGCACCATTCAAGGCCTTCTGTTGAAGTTTCCAGTCAAACGTCACTCAGTCGGTGGTTGCTCATTCTCATCCATTGCCTCCCATTTGGTATTCTTTTTTTTCCCCCTCTGCCTATGGTTGCCTCTATCAATAAAATAAATTTGCCCACAATTGAATTACTGCATCTTGAGAGGTAGTCACGTTTAGAAACTCTGTACATCCAAACTTTGTTGTTGTGTATTTTAAGGACTGGTTGAAGCATCTGTCCCGATCAAGCAATCACGGTTATTTCCGTTAGCACACCCTGCCACAAGCAGCTGGTCCATTGTTACGCACGCAGTGAAGGAAAGTGAGACCATCGGTGGTTTGCAGAACACCGACGTCAATCTGAATGTGGGGAAAGCTAAATGAATGAGTTTTCCATTACGTGTTTGGGTATTGTCTTGTCCATGCTAAACTCTGTGCTCCGGAAAATCCTTACCAACACACTTTCCATTTATTGCGAATTCACAATTCAACACAATGGGGAACACAGATGTGCTCTTTACATTTTATGTACTGTTTCACCACCAAGATGTACCCTAGGCTGCTCATTTGTGTGGTACTATAGTGCCGTTTCATCATTGGCCATAATCTAATGACTGCTGGATGAGCATAGTTGGCATGGTTTACTACATACTATACAAAATAAGTTCAACACATACATTCAAGGTCTCCCTAAGCTGGTCACCATCTCTCACAGTCCAGCGATGCAGCAATCGTAATAGGCCTGCACACCAGCTGATTTCATTGCTGCTTATCCACACTGAGCCTCTGCTTGGGCACTTTCACTCCTTTGACTGTTCATAGTAATTTTTGGCAAAGTTGTCGAGCTATTAAACTGTACTTTGTAGGCATTGATGAATTTATCCTGGCTAAATTTTTCTGGGGGAAAAAAGACCCATGCGTTGAAGTTGACTGATGGGGATAAATTATTTTGAAAGTTGCTTTGTCCTGTGAATGATGCCACCGCCGTCGCTGCACATCATGCAATAAACACTTGCATAACGTGTTTGCTTAGCTCTTGCTGACGTTCGGATTTCTGCATTTGGGGATATGAGCGGTAATCCCGGCTGTCAGCTTAATACGCATGAAACGTGTGATTCATTCCAAAGGCAAGGTCAGCACTCGGCCAGAGTGAACCGCCCACTTAGGATTAAAATGCAAATCAGTCATGTTACTTTGTCGAGCAATTAGTGAATTCTGCTTTTGAACTAAATGTGCGACTTTTTTTTTATGTTTCGGCGTCCTCATTTTTTTTGTTTGTGAAATATGTATTCCATTTCATCATCATCCTCATCGTCGTCATCATCAGCCATTACCAATCCACGACTGGATGAAGGCCTCTTCCCAAGTCGCCCACCATCCTTCACTTCCACACCGTAACATTTCACCCCAGTAACTGCAGCGATGTCCTTTTGGGTGCTTTCCCTCTTTTGGCTGTGGCTACTAAATCGTTTTTTTAGTTCCTCCGGCAGCTAACGTCCCTTATCGTGACGTATCCTGCCCAAACCCAGTTGCTGTACTTGTCTTAACAGGAAAAGATTACCTCGTTAACCTCCGTTCCACTTGATCGCTCGGTATAATCCAAGCTCTTGCACATCTCTCTGTGTTTATTTGTTCACATTTGAGGTTTTCGATTTGAAGCTTTCGTGACTGCAAGGATGCATCTTCTTTGGTTCTTTCGGTAAAGTCACGTAGAATGAGAATAAAATAATAAAATAACACAATAAAATTCTCACGACGTTTCGGCCACAACGCAAGATGGCCGCTTGCGTTGTGGCCGAAACGTTGTGAGAATTTTATTGTGTTATTTTATTATGTTATTCTCATTCTACGTGACTTTACCGAAAGAACCAAAGAAGATTTGAGGTTTTGTTACATCCCCTCGGTATGTATCCATGTTTCTTATTAAATGTTTTGCACTTGAAATGGGTTTAAATAATTCAATAATGTGGTAATTTATTCACATGTAGGAAACAATTGGTGTACATGTAAAGTGTGGCATTTGTATGGACAAACTTTGGCTGACATGGGAATTTTAGTTCCAGGTTTGATATACACCACATTTAAAGCTCGTGGTAGCCATGAGAAGGCAGAACGGAAATTTATTCTTAAAAGTATCTGCATGGAGCTTTGAGTGTTACCCTGTTTTATATATAGGATTTCCCTGCTTCCTTCAGTTTCCCCGCAGCAGGATCCATGGTGGTGCAGCGATATCCATTGTACCGTACTATGCTTTCATGTTTATGCCCTTCTATGTGCCTTCACCAACCATAATTTTTCAGCGTGGTGAAGTATGGTCAACGCCCACGGACCCGCATGGCGTGTGGAGGCCCTCATCCAGCAGTTGATTGACATGTGCATGAACTCTGAAATCCTCCCACATGTCAAACACTCACTGGAATGGAATAGGCCAAACATTCCACTATGGGATAAGAATTAAAGGATAAGGATTTGGTTTAGGGTGCCTAAATGCCATCTGACAGTATTTTAGTTTCAAAGAGGGAGGATCGATGAAAGCCTCATTGAGTTTCAAGAGCCTTGGCATCAGCGAGGCTTGCATGGCTATTCTTATAAAGCCATTTCCAAACCTACTGAACATGTTAAAACGGAAAGCGTTTAAACTTGTTTTGGTACACCAGCTGCATACGTTTAACAATGGATCATTCTGTCCGCTGGATATTTGAACATTCGTGGAACAGATTGGACCTCAAATTGTCTTAACACCTCATGGAGCACGGTGTTCTCTCTCCACTGAATATTTTTGAATACTGGCCCAGAGTCGTGACGTCAGCCGAAATCGAGTGATTGACATCTTTTTTAAAATAAATAAGCCCTAATTTGCCGAGCTATGTCCCTACCCATATTACCGACCGTTTCCAACCTTGCCAAGCTTTCAAGGTGGAATGTGATCAAACAACACTGTGGTCAAGGATGTGTGACAAGCCATGAAATCATGTCCTGGATAAGTGGAACAAGTAGTCTTGATGTGTCCGTTCATCCTTTGTTGCTTTCTGCAATGGTACACAGGAGGATTTATACTGCTGCCCTTCCTCTGGCTGGTGAATGCCATCTGGTTCTTCAAGGAAGCATTCATGAAGCCACAATACCAGGAGCAAGCCGAGATCAAAAAGTGTGAGTGCCAGGCCCTTGGGTCTACACTGATTTATTTTTCATGCCATTTTTTCCCCCACTTATGTGGGGTCTGCCTGCCTTGCTGTCTTTCTCCACTCATTCCTTTTACTGGGACATCTTCATATCCATTCCAGTCCTTCACATCCTGGTTGTCCACTTGAAACTACCTCTTTCTAGGCCTGCCTCTCAGTCTCCACCATGGTGCTACTATGTTCATCACCTTCCTTCCGATGTGGTTTTCCTCTCATCTTACAATATGTCCTAACCCATCGACTCGCCTTACTCTCGGCTTGCCTGAAATTAGTTCTACCATCCTTGCCTTATTCGTCAGCGCTTAATTTCAAGGCCAATCCATTCTTGTATTCCCCAAGATTCATGTTGGGCATCTCGTCAGTTTTTCATGTGGTGTGCAGCATCTGCTGCTCTTGTGGGTTTTTAGTCCAATATTCAAACCCATATGTCACAGTGCTGGTCGTGTACACTTTCCCCTTCGATTAAGTCAGAATCCATATCACTGCACTGCTCCATCTCCATTTGTGCTATGCCTTTTTAGGTGAATCAGTTTGATCTAATTTGCAAAGTCCTCAATCCTCTTGCACTGGTGTACGTTTTTGACCACGTTCATGCATTAAGGCCGGCCCTTGACGTAAGAACGTTGGATTTGTATGATTTAGAAAAGTGGCAATTTTGCATTAAATTAAACGATCGCTTTTGCAAAAGACAAATATGCCCTTTTCGTGAAGACGATCGCTTGCGTTGCGATCGAAACGTCGTAGTTTTCTGTTATTTTTTATTATTTTCTTTGAATCCATCTATGTGACTTTACCGAAAGACCCAAGAATATAAATATAAATCATTGGGAATTACAGTCTATGGGTAGGGTGATCTGGATATTAATTTTTACGGCCAGGTGCAACCAACAGCAGTGGTTGTATAACTATTGATACTTGAATTTTTATTTAAAGCTTTCGTGACTGCAGGGATTCATATTCTTGGTTATTTCGGTAAGGTCACCACGTAGAAAGGAAACAATAAAATAATAAAAATATAAAACAATAAAATTCTCACGACGGTTCGACTGCAACACAAGCAATCATCATCAGGTGTGAAAACCACAGCAAGATAGATGGACTCGTCCATCTCAATAACTGCCAAATCGCTCTCCGTGGTGCTAACGTTAAAAAAACGCTACTTTTTTTCAAATTTTCTTGCTGTGGTTTTCACACCTGATGATGATTGCTTGCATTGCAGTCGAAACGTCGTGAGAATTTTAATGTTTTATATTTTCATTATTTTATTGTTTCCCTTCTACGTGACTTTACCGAAAGAACCAATAATATTGATGTGCATGTTTATAATATCAAAACTCCTATGTTGATTCATGATTATACAGCGAGAATAACATCTGGAAGGCAGACAAACACAAAGGCTGCGTTTATTGATATAGGCGCCCACTGAATTGAAATTGTTAAAATACTTAAGGTAATAAAATACATCAAATGTTATAACACATGCACACTAAAAGTGTATTTCTTGTATCCACCACTTTGGTGAATTCCATGGCGCGTTGTTTGTTTAGCTTAAATCATTACGCCTAATCCACCGGCTCAGACACGAGCTTTGTACTTGGCAAACGTAGATGAGTGCATGTCTCTGCGACAGCTGAGCACACTTTTAATATCGGCACGTCCCAGTCGGGGACATCACAAATGGACATTGTCAGACCGGAGTATGCTAACGCGCAACATCGCCCTATGTTCACACATGCATTCAGATGTTATAAATAATGAGTTTCAGCACAACCTTCTGTTATCTATCAGCCCCGCAGACAAACACCGACTTTGCTAAGTGTATACAATGTTAGTGGTGATAATTAATACGATACCGTTTGTGGGATAATTATGAATTTTTATCTTTCATCTGACGACCTTGTGTCTGCATATATTATTTTATTATTAAAACATTGGTCATATGCTTAGGTTTGTTCATACTATACAAGGCTAATTTGCATTGCACATGTTGGTTGTCATGTGATTTGTGCATTTCACATTAATATCAGCCAAGGGACAGTTTTCTGTAGTAATGAAAATAAAAGCATCTTTATTTTCATGTTCCGCATTTAAATTGGGATGCATCTTCAATCACTCTCACCCGATTGATGGCGAGCCAGTATTTTTCAATGTTTAGGAGATTTTTTACATTGAAATGCTTCATTAGCGGCGTAGGTTTAGAATGGTGCTATCATTATTTTAGAGTACTTTGTAAACATTTGGCATAGTTGTGGACGTCAAGCGATGTAAAAACTACTTAGATTAACTTGAAATAAAGCACGCGCTTTGTTAAGGGTTTTTATGACCACGATCAAAGTGGTATTTGTGAATATACACTCGCTTTTCTAGCTTCTAAAAGCTACAAACACTTGTTTTTTGTGCTTTCAATGACTTTGAATCATCCCACTTACAGAAGAAAGAGGTTTAAAATAAAAATTGCTCCGTCGCACTGCCCCAAACAAACACACAGGACACGCGATCGTTGGCGTGCCTCGGCCTCCATAAATCCTTCATCTCCTGATGATCCCAAAAGTTGTTGCCACACTCCAAACCTGTAAACAAAACCACGCTGCCCCCAATGCTCCAGACCCTTCCTGGCTTCCAATTCAATTTCAGATCAATTTTAAGATTGCACTCGCTGTCCTTTTAAGATGATCCATGGACCCACCCTTGCCTACCACTCAACTGTTATCTCACTCTACTCCCTTCTATGCACTCTCCCACCTCTCGCATCTCCTCTCCTCATCACACTCTACTCCCCTTCTTGCATCTTCTGCTCCAGCAACCCAAGGCTTTCTAACCAAAGGCTACAGTCAACCTCAAAGCCTGGGACTCCATTGCCGCAGTCATCCGTGCCTCCTGGTTCAAAACCTTTTTTTCCTCTGCCTTTAAGTGACTGCCTCTTTGCAACATAAGTGTGCTGCACCGTTTTTATGCGGTGTATTGAGATCTTATCGCATTCATGCGCCGCGTAAATCTACATTGTATTGTAGACATTCGCGAACAAGATTTATAAACTCGTATGCAGACCCATATACTCGTATAGAAACCCGCAGACTGACATAGACACCTGTGGACTCGTATAGAAATCCATAGCCACACACGCAGGGGATTTATCACCGACGGGGTGCTCTGTGCAAAATAAAAACGCCTGACTTTTTCTGTCCAGACGCGTGGCCTTTCAGATTCCGTCGCGCTCCCGACGCTGCGTTTTACGCCGCCCGGCGTGTCGTGAATGTTTCCGCGTGCGCAGATGTGATCCGCTCGGCGGTGGGTGTGCTGGGCTGGACCGTGGTCCTCACTGTGTGGATCTCCATCTACCAGCACTTCCGTCCGCAGTGGGGAGCCACGGGCGACTACATGTCCTTCACCATCCCCTTCGGCATCCCGTGACGTTCGCGAGCGGCGTGCCCGCAAATTGCCGGCGGCAGGACACCACCCCCCTCGAGAGCGCATAAGGGCGTTTACACTTGCAGAGAGGGCTTTTGGCATCTTGTTGGCTCAACAGTGTGTCCTCGAATATAGCGGGCTGATTCAGGGGTGGTGGTGGGGTGATCAGGTTTATCAGTTTTATTTTTCATAAATCCATGAAATCTAAATGTATCCCATTCTGCTATTTTTTTGAACGCTCAAAAAGTTCGTACCGTAAATTCACACAAGTATATAATAATGAGATATGAATTTACATTTTTTTTGTATCGTAAATACTTGGTTCACAGGTCTGGTGGAGCCAGTGGTGAATCGAAGGATAACTTGACTAGTTACTGTGTAGTATCTTGCATAATTTGGGAATATCTAGCACACAACGTTACTTGCGCAGTGTAGAGACGGAGCGAACCAGTCGGCACAGGTTTTCATACATTTTTTTTAATGATAGGTTCCTACGATTTTCTACTTTTTTTTTCTTTTTTTAGCTTTGGTTAAATTGTAGGCGTCCCAACAAAAACCCCATTTATATGCAGGATATCGTATATCTGCTCACATTTTTGTCCAGGACACGCTGTATATATGGGCATTCAAGATTCAAGGAGATTCGTGCAAAGGATGAATCCCGCTTCAGGGTTGGGAACATGCATAGGGGTTTATGTATACAAGGGTTTTTTTTTTAATGCAAACGATATTAGAAAAATTGGGCACTTTTGGGCGTGGATATTTGTGTACTGGGATGTTTTGTGTTCATACTACCGAAGCATAATTATTATTCGAAGCATTTCCACACGTGTGCTTTTTAGATTAGGAAGTATTTGGCCTCGTAAGATGCCAGTCAGATTTGGCAGATATCCCAAGTAGCTTACTACAGGGGTAACTCCAGCATGCTAAAAATGCCCTTTGATTGCCTTGCTGCCTTGCAAGGGATTATATTTCCTTAATGAACTTATACTCTGTGTGAATTAAATGTGTATATATGGTCTTGGAAGTATTGCAAACAGTGCAGTGTTTTGTGTTCATACATAACAGTGAAGCTTTGTAATAACTGACGAATTATACATGCCTTCACGAATGCTCTTTCAGAAAACAAGTAAATATGCAGCCCTCTTTGGCAGTCTACTGTTGGATGAGGGCCTCTTGATCATACTTGATGATCAGTGGGTTTGAGAAGGCATGGAGCATAGACTTGTAAGCATAAAGGCACAGGGTGAACAAACGCTCTTTCGACATCGAAATTACTTAAACGTACATTACTTAAATGTTTAGCTTTTCTGAGCATACGTTAATAGACGGTTGCAAAACCTTCCACGTTGTTTGAAGTAATGCATCCCATATGTTTTGTCATTTCATGTACTTTAATCCTTGAATAATGTCGTGGTTGAAGAGTTTAAATGCTTCGCGTTTTACTCTCAAATGTCCTCTTGGTATTCCATAAATGTGTCCGTTTATACTGTGTGGTACACCCAACAGCTTGTGTTTTTCTTAATTTTCAGGATATCAATCGTGGTGTTTTCTTTTGGCGATCTGAAACCTATTGGAACGATTTCGATCTTGTAATTCCAAACGTTGTTACTCCGCTGTTCGAATTTCACAGACCGCATCGACGCTTGGCTTTCGGAAGTGTGTACATTACTGACATTAAATGTTCCCAATGAACAAATAAAGTCGCTTCACATTTGAATGTTTGTGAAATGTCATAATTTAAAGTTGCAACTTGGAACGACACGCATCGGACCGATGCCATTTTCAAATGACTTGTTTCCCAGACGTTTTGCCTTCACAAAAATAAACGCAGCCTCAAGTTTTTCAAACCAAATCACCCAGAATGTGCCTGATCTCATCAGATTTTGTCAGCACAGCAGGTTTAAGCCTGGATAGACATTCGTTTGGTCAGCACCATGCATTAATTCAGGCGTTATCGGCTGGCAGGACAAGCGGGCATTGCAGCAATGTCCATTGCACTTCTACGCTCCCCCTGCCTTGAACCCGCACGGACCAGCGTGGTGAAGTATGCTAAAATAGCTACCATAACGTGGGGAAGCCTTCATCCAGCAGTGGATTGACGAGGGCTGTAAGTGTACGTGTCTATTGCCTACAATTTTGGCATCCCTTCAAACCTGACCCTCCTATTGCGGTCACGTTTTTGATTTACCAATAGCCACGGTCAATACACTGCTGGATGAAAGCTTCCCAAAGCTGCCACGATATTAGGGGCCGTCCATAAATGATGTCACGCACCTGGGGGGGGGGGCAGACATTTGTGACGATGTGTGACGAGGTGGGGGGGTTGAGAAATGTGACGTCACTAAAATGCGCAACTTTAAATAAATATGGAACTGTTTAACACGTAGGCTTTCGAGACCAATATTCATAATAAAGGTTTTTGGGTTAGATCGCGTTTATTTATAAATGTGTCGTAACCCTCCACCACCCGACACGGCCAATCAGCAAAAAAAAAGTGTCACGTTGACAAAAGACAAATAATTCACTAATTTAGCCCACCGGTGTGTTGAAGAGTGAATCCACATTTACAGTTTGAGTACGACGTTTCGCTGGTAAATACATCCAGCATCATCATGCAGTTCGCCAGAATGGTAAAGCCCTCGCTTGCTCCCGGTTTTATATAGAGCAGCAGGGTGACGTCATCACTTAACTCATATCAGGTGCAGTGATTAGAGGCGGAGGGGGGGAGGTATTGTAATTATATAATCGATTAGTAATCAGTCATTGGTTATGATTAGTAATGAGTTGTAGATTAGTAATTCTTTAAATCAAAATGTAATGTGTATTATTTAATAATACGCTTCCAGGCCGCACTAAGCCGGTAGCTGTCAGAGCGATTAAAGTTATTCTTGTTCCTCTCAATTTCAATGGATTCTCTAATTAGTCTTTGCCAGTAATAATTAGTTTTACACACCACTGCAACATGGTCAAAATCAATTGAGTGTCCTTGTTGACAAGCATGTTCTGCCACTGCCGACAGTTGTGTTTGAGATAAAAGAACATCAGAGAAATATTAAATTATCTCAAACACAACTGTCGGCAGTGGCAGAACATGCTTGTCAACAAGGACACTCAATTGATTTTGACAATGTTGCAGTGGTGTGTAAAACTAATTATTACTGGCAAAGACTAATTAGAGAATCCATTGAAATTGAGAGGAACAAGAATAACTTTAATCGCTCTGACAGCTACCGGCTTAGTGCGGCCTGGAAGCGTATTATTAAATAATACACATTACATTTTGATTTAAAGAATTACTAATCTACAACTCATTACTAATCATAACCAATGACTGATTACTAATCGATTATATAATTACAATACCTCCCCCCCTCCGCCTCTAATCACTGCACCTGATATGAGTAAAGTGATGACGTCACCCTGCTGCTCTATATAAAACCGGGAGCAAGCGAGGGCTTTACCATTCTGGCGAATTGCCTGATGATGCTGGATGTATTTACCAGCGAAACGTCGTACTCAAACTGTAAATGTGGATTCACTCTTCAACACACCGGTGGGCTAAATTAGTGAATTATTTGTCTTTTGTCAACGTGACACTTTTTTTTGCTGATTGGCCGTGTCGGGTGGTGGAGGGTTACGACACATTTATAAATAAACGCGATCTAACCCAAAAACCTTTATTATGAAAAATATAGAACTGTTATAACAACATTAATTGTTATAACAACACTCCTACAACATCAGAGTGCAGCGCCACATTAAATACGCACTACAATGACAATAGTTTAAAGCGATTTGAAGCATGTTTTATTTTCAAAATGGAAATATGGTTTGGGGGGGGGGGGGCAGAGCTTTGTGACGTCATATTTCAGGGGTGGGCCTGACTTTTTGTGACACCGTGTGACGAGAGGGTGGAGGGTCAAAAATCGTCCAAAATAGCGTGACGTCATTTATGGACGGCCCCTTAACGCTTTACAACTAAGGTTAAAGTTCCTTTGCTGATCTCGTCAAAGAACGTATAAACCATCACGGACACTGCGGTCATCCTTGCAGCAGCGGCTTTTGGCTAACCATCGAACGTAAGACGGTCACCGCATCGCGCCCTTGCACGTGCACTTATGCGGCCGTCTGGAACGCTCTTCCGATCTTTACGACGGCTGATGTAAATGCAGAGCGACGATTACAATTTCACATTCAGGGGGTCAAGCCCATATAACCGCGTCAGGAGGAGCGGCGTGTCATCGCTGCGATGTCTCCTTCGGAATTGTGGATGGGGCATTGCGTCGTTTTATGTTTTACCGTCTGTTCTGGATGACCAGAGTCGCACACAGGAGACTTTTTAATTTTCCATTCGTGAATCAGGTGTCCGCATCTGCTATGGTTTGTGCGGATGTGGTTTAGGGTGGACCATGAGCTTCGTGGGAGATCAAACCCAGAGATCTGTGTTGGGTCTTTCACAAGGCGTTTGGTGAGTCCGTTCGAACTCCATTCCGCTCTCCAAGCTACATTGATTGTCAATGTACAAACACGTGAAGACAAAATACAATATGATCGTCCTCAGGTGACCGCTTGTGTTGCGATCGAAACGTCGTGATATTTTATTTTTATATTTTATATTTCTACCCACGTGACGTTACCGAAAGAACCAAAGAGTATGGATTCCTGCAGTCACGAAAGCTTCAAATCAAGATTAAAATCCTATGTTTTTATTAACATACATTTTCATGATTGAGAACGAAAGGGGTGAAAGTCTGCAGTAAAGATTAAGAACTACTGGTGTAAGACCATAGGGGGTTTGCCGTTCCTGTTGTATATCAATGTCACTTTAGGTAAGTATTTTCCGAGTTGATTATTAAGTAGAGGCGTCTGTGGCGCACTGCATTGGGGTCAGCGTTGGCCCAGCCACGTGCCAACGTCGCAAGTTTACTGGGCACAACCCAGGTTGGTTCACGTTGGCATGTTGTTACTCCACCACGAACAGTCTATTGAACACGTGAGCAATTCTGGCCCCTGATCGCGACACGTGCGAAGACCGAAATCAAACAGACCACTTTATCTGACACGGTACGTGTGCAAGACGGAAAGTCGGGAATTGTGTGCGATTGTTGCAGGGGTACCTCGAAGAGGATTGGTCAGGGCCAGCTAATTAAACTGATTTGGTAGAGATTGGTAGAGAAGTTCTAACGCAAAAGGCGGGGAAACGAGAGTGGACCTGTCGGGGTGACGGTGGACAGTCGTTTAGGGAAGAAAGGACGGGAATTGGCCGAGAGAAGTGGGGATGAGCAAACGTTCGAGAAAGGGGGCTCGGGGGGATATAAGTAATATTTAAAAAAAAAACTTTTTAAAAACACGCTTTTTATGAAATGTGATGGCAGAACTCCACGACTCCAGGAAGTGGCCCCGAAGCTTGGCCACAACGTAAGGGACCCGTGGGCAATTACAGCCAACGTCAGTTTTGACCGTGGACAATTTGACCCAAGCCGAAACATCTCCATATATCTAAAAGGCAAAATTGTGATTATGTGTGTCTGTTCAAAATGTTTAGCGTACTTCCCGATATGCAACAAACTTGAAATTTGCCATGTGGGTACTTTCCAGACTGTACACCATGCAAAAAATATAAAAAATACACTTTTGGGGGGGGGGGGGAGCTCAATAATGCATATTTTTTTTGCACGGCAAGTGAGCTGTGACGTCAAATCTGTCACGTGACCCGCGCATGTGGAAGCGTAACGCATTGTAGTGTAGCGGTAAGCGCACCGCGCTACGAACCCGGCGACCCGCGTTCGATTCCCGTTTACGGCCACCACCGGTGACGATTATTTTTACCGGTCCTGGGCCTCCCCTAGGTCGACTCAGCATCAAACGACTAACTGCTCTTCTGTGTGAACATCGCCACTGGGGATACAAAGGCGGCCGGGCGTGGTGCTGGCCACCCACCCCCTCGTAACATATAAAAAAGAATGTTTACAAATATATATTTTTATTTTTTCATGATAGAATATAGTATTGTCATCAGTATGACATAAGTATACCAAGTTTGCAGTCGATACCACATTGGGAAGTGGGTTAAAATTGAGTTACAAGATTTGAGGATACAACAACGACAACAACAACAGACAGTGAGTTGAATGAAAGCGTGTAATAATAATAAAAGGGGCAAGGGACGCTTGGGGAGAAGACAAAAGTCCGAGGATCAACCGAAGCGCGGGTCTCGGAATAGTGTTGTTGCGTCCACGATAATGGCTCCTGGGAATGCAAGAATGTCTGTGGGCGCCACTACACACGGATTCTGGAATTGTTCATCATCAGTAGTCATGGTCAATCCATTGTTGGATGCAGGACTCCCACAAGCTGCGATATGGTCATGTCCATACAACTCATAGAATCGACACGCGTTTTGAGTATCTGGCTGCTGTAAGTTTCCGCATGATGATAAGACACTTTTCGTTGAGCTATCATTTGTGGACCAGGTCGCTTCTGTTAAAAAAAAGAGCTAGATAGCTCAGTGGGTCTTACCGGGTAAACATTTTTATTTAAAAGTTTGTTTCATTTCAAGCCCACGCCATCTCTCCGTCTCCTCGGACGCGTTCCATTCCTTGGCTGCCACTCCATCAATCCGCTTGACCATAGTGCGTCGTCCCTTCGATGAACGATGGAAAGCCCCAACGCAGAAGATCCCCTGGGGGTTTGATCTCCCACGAAGTTGCTCGCGGTCCACGCCGAAACCGCATCCACTTCACAAACCGTGGCAGCAGCAGATGCGGATACCCCGATGAGCAAAATGGAAAATTAATCACTCTTCCAGCGGTTGTGCTGCTGCTGCTCCTGTGGTCATCCGGAACAGAGGCCGTACAACGATGAAGGCCGCTTGTGTTGTGGCCGAAACGTCGTGATTTTTGTTGTTTTATTTTTTACCTACGTGACTTTACCGAATAGAACCAAAGAGTACCGTACAACGTGTAACGACGCAATGGCCCCACAAACACGAAGGAGACATCACAGCGATGATGCACCACTCCGCTGACTCCTGACGCGGTTACCTGGGCTTGCCCACCTGAAGGTGGCACTGTGGTTGTTGCTCTGCATCGACATCATGAGCCATACAACAACAGCAAGGATAATCTTCCCTGTCAGCGACGTGTCCTGCCTCAAGCCCGCGAACTTTTCTGAACAGTTGTCAATCTGTTTTGTCTATATATATAGGGGCCGTACATAAATGACGTCACGCACCTGGGGGGGGGGGGGTCAGACATTTGTGACGATGTGCGACTAGGGGGAGGGGTTGAGAAATGTGACGTCACATAAAAATGCGCAACTTTAAATAAATATAGACAACATGTTCTACTTCATTAAATAGACTTTTTTTCAATAAATGTTTTCTCCTACAACATCAGAGTGCAGCGCCACATTAAATACGCACTACAATGACAATAGTTTAAAGCGATTTGAAGCATGTTTTATATATTTTTTTTGGGGGGGGGGCAGAGCTTTGTGGCGTCATATTTGAGGGGGGTCTGACTTTTTGTGACGCCGTGTGACGAGGAGGGGGGGGGTCAAAAATCGTCCAAAATCGCGTGACGTCATTTATGGACGGCACTATAGACAAAAATATATATTCACAACTGAACAAGGTCGTATATACTGACCAAGGAGCATGTCTTGAAAACTAGAGCCAATCAACAATTTAAAGTATCATTTTCATTCTCAGTGACCCACAAATAATAAAGTTGGACTACGTTTATTTCGGAAGCATTTTGGCTGTAGACCCGTGTAACCTGCGCACCATCTTTGATTCACGTGCTCCTCTCTCTCTGTCTCTCAATGTAAGCCGAAGCATGGGACGTGTCCATGATTCTTTTCACACTTTTTCAGCATTTGCTCCTCGATTAGGTGTTTATCCCCAGCGCAAAGGTTCAATTTAAGTTCCGTTAAAAGTGATCGAGGGTTGAGAGTGGTGACACACCGTTTGGCGCACCGCGTCATGAACACATGAGTTTGATTCCCAGCCACGACTGACGTTGGCTAGTGTGGTATCTGAACTAGTCTGGACCACCCAACTTTACCAACCGGAATTTACCAGCGTGGTGAAGTTTAGTATGGTCTAGCAACCTCCACGTCTAACATGCATGGCCTTCATCCAGCAGTTGATTGACAAAGGGTCGTACATGTTTAAGTAATGTAGGTATTCTTGTATTTACCATGTTACCATGAAGGGTGATTAAACCGCATCTGAATATGCGCTCAGTCAACACGTGACAAACACACACCAATCGGCACTCGGTCTACACAGCCAATTGTATTCAAACCTCCCGTGAACACATCTGAATAGTATGCTTTATAATCAATAATATAATAACGGCAAAATTTACAGTAATTACGGAAGATTGGGATTATTCGTCTCTCTGGGGCTCAGACATAGAGGTTCAGGGTGCAGCAAGAGTCATTTGGGTAGAGTTGCCCAGCTCATGCTGCAACACGGTGATTTAGTGGACCAAACGCATTATGCCAATTTCCAAAGTTCAAAATTAGGATGAAATGCTTTACGGGGTGAGTTGAACCCAAAAGTGGGTACCAGGTGCAGAGATGAGAAAAAAGAGCATCAGCCAAGGCATGGGAAATAATAAACACCGTCTTTCAATACGAAGGAATCTAGGAAATCGATGTGGACAACACCAAACGATGACATTAGGAACGATATATGAATATTCTAGATTTGAAGTTTTCGTGACTGCAAGGATCCATACTCTTTGGTTCTTTCGGTAAAGTCACGTAGGTGAAAAATGAAATAAAATTAAGAATAAAAATAAAAAAATAGAAATAATCAAATTAAATCACGACATTTCGGAAGCAACACAAACTTCCGTCATCAGGTGGGACAACCATAGCAAAAAAAAATACCGTAGTGGGAAAAGTATTTTTTAGTTTTTGCTGTGATTGTCCCACCTGATGACGGAAGCTTGTGCTGCTTCCGAAACGTCGTGATTTAATTTGATTATTTCTAATTTTTATTCTTATTTTTTCACCTACGTGACTTTACCGAAAGAACCAAAGCATATATGAATACTTCACATTTTGAAAACTAAAGAAATCGCATTAAAGCACACGAATTACACGCTCTGAAAGCTGGAAACGAGCGAACGCATCTACAATGAAAATAATGCACCGACTGCACCGAGTGCCTTTGTACTGGGGCACAGATTTGTGTGTGTGTGCGCGTGCTGTGGAACGCGATAAACAATGGAGTAATTTACTGTTGGCTCCATTGCCTTTAAATTCGCGACTGACCACATCGTTTGGCACGGCCTCTCAGCTCAGCTCGGCGTGGTGGGGAGATGGTGGGTGGGTGGGGAGGGTGACACTAAAACTCTGCCAACAAACAACCAAAAAAATATGCAAAAAAATCCCCCCGAGGCAGACAAAATGAAAAAAGCTCACGTCGCAATTCTGGTTTCCAGAAAGGGGCTTTGTTAAACCGACCTGGCTCAGCAACGGAGTTCTATATAAATACTTTGGGGTGCTCTTCTAATTCAACTCACGGGTGCAAGTTCACACTATCTCAGCCGCAACCAAGCCAAGCCACCTTCGCCTCTTAAAACAAACGGAAGAAAAAAGAAACCCCAACAACAACAACAACCCCCCTCGTAAACCAGCGCAATGGAAGTGACCATTCAGCACCCGTTCCTGCGTCGCCCCTTCGGCTCGCTCTTCAACAGCCGCCTCTTCGACCAGTTCTTTGGAGAGGGCCTTTTCGACAGCGAACCTTTCTTTGGGCAGAGCGTCTCGCAGAACCCCTTCCTCCTCCTGCAGGGCCGCTCCTCGCCCATGCAGCGCCTCACGTCCATCCTGGATTCGGGGCTCTCCGAGGTGAGCGGTACCAAAAAAAAAAACAACAACAGCGAAACGCGACGCGCACACCCCGAGGCGATCAGTTGCGCGCAACATCCAACCCTTTGGAATTACATTGGGAGATGGAAAGGTGGAAACGCATGAATTAGAGATCGTGTCTATGTTACAAATAAGGGTTCACGCTGTTCAGAAGAAGAAAAAAAAGAGATGTCGGGGCTTGAGCACAGTACTTTGTTGCGCGCAAATTGCCTCGCGGAAAACGTGGTCGTCTCTGCAACCAGTTGCGGTCAGTTTGCGCGACCGGTTGCTGGCAATCGAGAGAGAATCTGCTCTCAAGCGTCGATCTGCTCGGCGTCTTGCAGTAAGGTTATTTCGACTCCACATTTTGTTCTTGCAATCCTGAATTCGCCGGTTTAATGTCATCTTTGTGCAACTTACTCGCTCAGATGTGGATACAGCTGTTGCAGGCAATGATTAAGTTGCGCGTTATTGAAGGCGATTTGGTTGCTCCGGCTGATCACGCAGTTATGGACCTTGTTGCTTTTAATTGCCGTATTTACTCAAAAGCGCATTTCATTTCGTTATTCAATAACCATGAATTCTAAGCGAGCCACCCTTAAGGCACGCAGCATGGACGAGTGTAGTGATGAAACTTAACTCAATGCATACATCCCACGGAGCTGGTAAGGTCAGCTGTATCATTTACCTCCTCTCCTGATTCCCCCCCCCCCCCCCCCCCCCCCCAGGATCGTCCTCTTGTTGAGATGAGGTAGCAGCTGCCCCTGGGGAAATCTACAAGCCTTCCCGGGAACGTTATAAGTCCACATCTTTTTTTTGTTCAATAATAATAATGCACCATCATGGCAAAGTCTATTGACATGTGGTGCTCCTTTCTACTCTGGAATTGAGAGATATTCGTCATCCCGTGATATGCCCCTGTTTTTTTTTTAAATGTTCCTTAGGGATGGCAACCCCAATAAATAATAATCCAGCCAGTGGACGAAGGCCATCTCCCAGTGGTGATGTTTACACAACGCGCCAGTTACTCATTTAAGGAGGGAGGTGCGGGACCGGTTCAGATATCACCGGTGCGAGCAACGGTCGGGGAACTAATCTAACTCAATCGTTTTGATCATATGGATACAACAGTACGTCTCGGCTGGAGCGGCGGTAGAGTTGATAGCCACGCTCCACTACGAACCTGGCGACCCGAGTTCGATTGATTCCCGCCACGGCTAACATTAGTGACCAAGTGATACAGTGAGGGAAAAAAAGTATTTGATCCCCTGATGATTTTGTACGTTTGCCCACTGACAAAGAAATGATCAGTCTATAATTTAAATGGTAGGTTTATTTGAACAGTGAGAGACAGAATAACAACAAACAAATCCAGAAAAACGCATGTCAAAAATGTTATAAATTGATTTGCATTTTAATGAGGGAAATAAGTATTTGACCCCTCTGCAAAACATGACTTAGTACTTGGTGGCAAAACCCTTGTTGGCAATCACAGAGGTCAGACGTTTCTTATAATTGGCCACCAAGTTTGCACACATCTCAGGAGGGATTTTGTCCCACTCCTCTTTGCAGATATTCTCCAAGTTATTAAGGTTTAGAGGCTGACGTTTAGTAACTCGATCCTTCAGCTCCCTCCACAGATTTTCTATGGGATTAAGGTCTGGAGACTGGCTAGGCCACTCCAGGACCTTAATGTTCTTCTTCTTAAGCCACTCCTTTGTTGCCTTGGCCGTGTGTTTTGGGTCATTGTCATGCTGGAATACCCATCCACGACCCATTTTCAATGCCCTGGCTGAGGGAAGGAGGTTCTCACCCAAGATTTGACGGTACATGGCCCCGTCCATCGTCCCTTTGATGCGAAGTTGTCTTGTCCCCTTAGCAGAAAAACACCCGCAAAGCATAATGTTTCCACCTCCATGTTTGACGGTGGGGACGGTGTTCTTGGGGTCATAGGCAGCATTCCTCCCTCTCCAAACACGGCGAGTTGAGTTGATGCCAAAGAGCTCCATTTTGGTCTCATCTGACCACAACACTTTCACCCAGTTGTCCTCTGAATCATTCAGATGTTCATTGGCAAACTTCAGACGGGCATGTATATGTGCTTTTTGAGCAGGGGGGACCTTGCGGGCGCTGCAGGATTTCAGTCCTTTACGGCGTAGTGTGTTACCAATTGTTTTCTTGGTGACTATGGTCCCTGCTGCCTTGAGATCATTGACAAGATCCTCCCGTGTAGTTCTGGGCTGATTCCTCACCGTTCTCATGATCATTGCAACTCCACGAGGTGAGATCTTGCATGGAGCCCCAGGCCGAGGGAGATTGACAGTTCTTTTGTGTTTCTTCCATTTACGAATAATCGCAGCAACTGTTGTCACCTTCTCACCAAGCTGCTTGGCAATGGTCTTGTAGCCCATTCCAGTCTTGTGTAGGTCTTCAATATTGTCCCTGACATCCTTGGAGAGCTCTTTGGTCTTGGCCATGGTGGAGAGTTTGGAATCTGATTGATTGATCGCTTCTGTGGACAGGTGTCTTTTATACAGGTAACAAGCTGTTCCCCGACCGTTGCGAGCAACGACCGTTGCGAGCAACGGTCGGGGAACTAATCTAACTCAATCGTTTTGATAATATGGATACAACAGTGCGTCTGGGCTGAAGCGGCGGTAGAGTTGATAGCCACGCTCCACTACGAACCTGGCGACCCGAGTTCGATTGATTCCCGCCACGGCTAACATAAGTGACCAAGTGATACTGTACATGTCATGCCCTCTCCCCTTGGCGTCCACAACCCGCACTGACAAGGGTGGTGAAGTATAGTCGAAATGGTTTCATGACACGACATGGCGTGTGGAGGCCTTACATATATTTGATGCGTTTTGTTTCTACTTTATTCACCTGTAAATCATAAAAAAAGAACAGAACAGAAAGACCCCTAATATGAAATTCATAATAGTTCACTATCTCGGATTGTAATGCACGCGGGATAACCCCGTGCAGGTAGTAGTAATAATAATAGTTTACGTTTATTTGTAAGGCTGCGTTCCACTAATGTCTCAAGGTGATGTAATGCGGAGCTTGGGCGATTCTTCGGTTAAGCAATGAAGCGAGCAAGATTTCGATTTGACAACTTTTCTGCAGCTGACTAATCGGGCCAAATTCCAAAGTATCGCGATCGATCCCAACATCCTTCGGTCCGAAGGCGGGAACCCCCCCCCAGCCACGCCCCCTACCTTGCCCCACCACGCCCCCACCAATATAAGCCACGCCCAGCGTAGCGCGGTTGATGATGTCGATGACGTCGCCAAAGAGACAAACGTTCTTGTGCAGATCGCATCGAGTGTTTGGGCAAGCGTGTGTTTGGGTGTAGATATTAAAGCCAGTTCTGCGCAGGTCGGGCTGGAGTGGCTGAGACTACGTCCCGCTCCGTCTTTGTATCCCCAGCGCTGGTGTTTACACACCGCACCAGGTGTTCAACAATGACTCAAACCTAGGGAGAGGCCCGGGACCGGTTCAAATATTCGCCACCGATGTTAGCGGCCGGCCGGGAACCAGAACTGGGCACGGTGAATTCGTAGCGTGTAGCGCGCTAAACAGATGTGCGCGCGCACACACGCGGGCACCGTGTGTCCTATTGCGTGGCACCGGGAGAATCGGTGATGTGTGCATCATTGTAACCGCTCATTTTGCAGCGCTTCTTTAAAATGTTGAATTTCACTTCTCAGACTGTCACCATCTGACACTTTCTTAGCTCGACGAATCAGCGTATTGATAAGAGCAGCAACGGGGCATTGAAAACCAAAATCAAATCAAACAACAGGAGCATTGAAACTGCCCAAGTAATTAAAACGATCAAAATACCGTACATTGCGGGAGTAACTGATAAACTAACCAGATGTTTGGAAAAACAAAACATCCGTGTCAGATTTGGTACAGTACATAAAATACAGAAAGTCATATCTGATACAAATGATGTATTACCGAAGCTATCAACACAGGGTGTGTACAGGATTAACTGCACGTGTGGTAAATTTTATGTTGGGAAAACAGGACGAATGATCAGCACGAGACTAAAAAAACATCAGAGAAATATTAAATTCTCCCAAATACAACTGTCAGCAGTAGCAGAACACGAATGCCAACAAGGGCACTCAATTGATTTGGATAATATTTGCACAATTGGAAACCTCATTTGCCAGTAACAAAATATGATAATTGTTTTTTTACCCTTTTATCTGCCAACAAAACTGACACCTTTGTAAAAAAAGGTGTCAGTTTTGTTGCCAGATAAAAGGGTACAAAACCAATTATCATGATTTTGATAATGTTGAAGTTTTGGGCAAAACTAGCTCCTATTGTCCAAGACTAATTAGAGAATCTATCGACTTTGAAAGAAAGAAAAATAATTTTAACCGTTCGGATAGCTACTGCCTTAGTGCTGCGTGGAAGCGAATAATCAAATAATACATTATTTAAATGCATGCCTACAAAGGGGCAGTGTTCTTCAATAGGGATTACCGTTGGTACGGCTATTTTATTACACACAATATACAGGAAGGACAAGTTCAAAGGGCTCGCATAATGCACATGCATAATGTACGTTGCCTCATTAATCCCATCCCCCACACACATTGTGCAAGAGCGCAGAAGCGTGGTCACCACATCTACGCCTCAATGTGAGGATCAAAACAGGTGGACTTCTCCACAAATGTGGCTGTCGCCTGATGAAGCTAGTTGTAATTACTTGCGAAACGTCGTGCTCAGATTGTATATGTTGTGGCTTGGCTCTCCAACACACCGGTGTGCTGTACTAGTGACGTATTGGCACGTTCTGTTTACGTGACAACCCTTACCAGTTGGCTGTGTCGGGTGGTGGCGGGTTTTAACGACACATTTATATATTTACGCGATCTAACCCAAAAACCTCTATTATGGAAGGTATTGGTCGCGAAAGCCTCCCACGTGTTAATGGACTGGCCGGAATGATGGCCGATGGAGAGTCCGTGGGTAAGACCGCCGCGGAGATGGAAAGATGAAATCAAGTCCATTCGTAATGTGCATGAGTGCGGTGTATGGTAGCTGCACTGCATCGTGAGGGATGGCGACAGCGTTCTTATACATGTGTATGCATAACTTCTTTCGCACCGTACGTAGCCAACCGTGGTAATCGGAGGTGATGGGGAAAAACAACAAACTAAACACCAAAGGCGGTTGTAAAGAAATGAGTTTTCACTCGAGATTTGAGCGTGCACAGCTTCAGCGGCTTCCTAACATCGGAAGGAAGAGCGTTCCAGACGGCCCGCTAGAAGCGCATCTGAAGGCGCGCGTTGCAAAGACCGCCTTTGTTCGACGGTTAGCCAAACAATGCCTTCATCCAGTAGTGGATAGACATTGACCGCTGCTGATGGATGAATGCGTGCTTGGAGTGCAGCTGCGCGTGGACAGGGAGCGCTTTGCCATCCACCTGGACGTGCGTCACTTCTCCCCCACCGAGCTGAGCGTGAGGATCGTGGACGACTCCATTGAAGTGCACGCGAAACATGAGGAGCGCGCGGTAATGGATTGCGCACGCAGCACCTACAACAAAGACAAAGATCCCCCGTGTAGCCTTAAATTACTGCTGGGGGCAAGTGCTGTGAGCGAGTAGCACCCTATGAAAGGCCGCGGAACGGCACACGAGGGGGTGGGTGGCCACCACCACGCCCGATCGCCTTTGTCTTCCTAGTGGCGATGTTTTTTACACAGCGCACCAGGGCACTTCATTTGAGGCTGAGTCGACCTAGGGGAGGCCCAGGACCGGTTCAGATAATCGTCACTGGCGTTGGCCGTGAGCGAGCATCGAACTCGGTTCGTGAGTGCAGCGGCACTCACCACTTGCGGTGCGACAGGGGAATAATTCTCCGGCTCTTACATTTGTTTTTTTTTAAATCAGGATATTATGGAACAGCAACGACACCGTAGGCCCTCTAACAACGCTTTAGGTGACGGAAAAACCGGATGGGGACTAACTCTGGGCCCCTCCGACCCGACGCAACCAGTCTATTTCTATGTTTTGACTTTTTTTTATTTGACCAGGTAAGGCCCTCTGAGGTATATGGCTCTTTTTCAGAAGCGACCCGGCCACAAATGAGAGCTCAACGAAGTGGCTTATCAGGTGGAAATTTATAATGCCCAAATACTCTAAACGCGTGTTTTTTTTCTAAATGTGGAGGAAAAACGCGGAGGAACCGGAGAAAAATGCACGCGGCCACGTGGAGAACGACACGCAAACTCCAAATGTACAGCAGCAGGCGTCAGGGTCGGGATCAAATCCACGACCTCCTGTATACCAGGCGAAGCAGTTAACATCTCTGAGCCACCGTGATGATGATGATGAGAGGGAGAGAGATGCAAACTCCAAATGTACAGCAGGCGTCAGGGTCGGGATCAAATCCACGACCTCCTGTATACCAGGCGGGGCAGTTAACATCTCTGAGCCACCGTGATGATGATGATGATGAGAGGGAGAGAGATGCAAACTCCAAATGTACAGCAGGCGTCAGGGTCGGGATCAAATCCACGACCTCCTGTATACCAGGCGAGGCAGTTAACATCTCCGAGCCACCGTGATGATGATGATGATGAGAGAGAGAGAGATGAAAACTCCACATTTATAGAAGGCGTCAGGGTCGGGATCAAATCCACGACCTCCTGTATACCAGGCGAGGTAGTTAACATGTCGCCACTGTGGCGCCTTATATAACCGCGGGTGTGTGTGGGGGGGTATACATTTAAAGCCTCTTTCACATAAAGGAATCGAGTCAGGGAGCCAACGTGCTTTTATCCGAGAGGGTGGAAGGGAAGAAGGGGCGGAGGGAGAGGTGGGTAGGGGTGGGGGGTACATATTTGTTTTCAAACCAACGTAAGTAACGAGCAACTTTCCGTGACCGGCCATAACCTGAAGGGTGAACCGTCCGTCCCGTGTCCCCCCCGCCACCCCCCCCCCCCCCCAGGACGAGCACGGCCTGGTGTCGCGCGAGTTTCTGCGCCGCTACCGCCTGCCCGTGGGCGTCCAGGCCGAGTCGGTGACGGCGGCGCTGACCACCGACGGGGTGCTGACCCTGTCGGCGCCTCGCCGCGACGGGCGGGAGCCGCGCGACACGCGCGAGACGCGCCCCGTGCACATCGCGTGCGACGACAAGTCCTCCCCCGTGGGGCCGCCTCCCCCCGAGCGCAAGTGAAGGGAAGGTGGGGGGCGGAGAGAATTAGCGAAACGCACGCATTTGTTGTATACTGCATATACTGCGTGCGCTTACTGCTTCGACAACCACTGCTACTACTACTGCGACCGCCGCCGCCGCCGCGCGCACGCATACACACTCACTCATACACACTCACTCACTCATACACACTCACTCACGCACGCACGCATACACACTCACTCACGCACGCACGCACGCATATACACTCACTCACTCATACACACTCACTCACTCACGCATACATACTCACTCACTCACGCATACACACTCACTTACGCACGCATACACACTCACTCACTCACGCAAGCACGCACGCACGCACACGGGCGCTTACCTGCAGCGGTGTTTTAAATTAACAAACCAAAAAAAGGTGCTACCCCGCTCAGTAAACGTGCGACGTTGGTGCAACGTCGGCATGTGGTCGGGACCGTGAGACCAACGTTGGCACAACGTTAGCCCAACGTTTTTTGTTTACTGCGCAATTGTTGCTCTTCATCGGCACGGAAACCATCTGGGCACATGCATGAACGCATAATCTATGCGAAAGAATGCTCACAAGCACGCGTACAACGTGTGTTCGAGAAGTTAAAAAGAAAACATTTAAAAAATCGTGTTCAAATTACTCTAGATACATCCATCACGGTCCAAGATGTACACTTATACACAATAAAGTAAAAAAAAAACCTTTTCGCAAATGCAAAATGAATATTTACGAAATAGAATATTCCAATAGTTCCCTGTGATAAGATATGAATGTTATGATATATCATAGTTCAAGTGAGACTTGCAATTCCATTTCGGGTCGTTTCAAGTGTGTCTGGTGTATAATTGGCACTGAATTGATGGACGGACGACTATATGGGTCTTCGCTTATTGTTCTAAATGCATGTCGTGTGCATGCTATTACAGAGGTAGTATTAGTGACGGGTCAGAGATATATGTGTAAATGCGTGGGCATCCGTTGACAGCTGAAGCATGACTTTAGAAATTAAGAAAATTACATCGTTTGGTCTGGAAAAATAACCACTCCGTTCGTATTCTGAATTGCGTCATCATGTTTTTAAACCGTGACAAGTTATTAAACATCAGAAATAGTGGGAAAAGCAATTTGCAAAAGTGCTATTTGAAAGAACGTTTTTGATAAGTTTCTGAAGTAACTGCTTACTGGGCAATGGACCGCTTCAACTATTAGCGATTCGGAAAGTCAAACAAGAGCAATACGTGTGGAACGATAGTTGATTTTGAAAATGTCAATGAACACACCTCATGTTGGGAAGAGACCCATAATCCCGCAAGTTATACGTGTGCCTCGTGCCTGGTGGCATGTTGTGATCTGTCGCTACTTACTGTGATAGCAGGATGACACCTTACCGATTGTGCATTGTGATACCAGCCGATGATAAGATGAAATAATTGGATTTCCCCGCTTGCATGAGTCGAACGCAGCTCCTTCCTGCAGTCGGCTGCTCATGACACACACCGCCGCAGTCGCTCTCTTTTCCCCGAAGTGGCGCTGAACTGAAGAAAAAAATGTAACGGCAAAATAAAATGCAATCACGTGACTAACATCCGCCGCCCTGTCCTTTGGTCTCATTTCATTGGCATTGACGGGTTTGGAGTGCGCTGTGTGGCGCTGCCTGTCCGTTATGGCGTACAGGGTTCAGAAAAGTGGCCTTCAGGCGATAAGATAACACGATTGTTGTTCCTGGGTAGTAAGTGTTATTTTCTGATTGCTTATGCCTCAAAAGTATGGAAAATGGCTAATATTCCCCACAAACTGTGCTTTTGTGACCAGTACTTTATGTGAAGGAATGACACAAATGCACACCACGTTTTCTCATTAAAAATAAGTCAATTAAAAAAATATTACTGTCCCGGTCACAAAAGCAAAATTTGTGGGGAATAATAGCCATTGTCTGTACTTTTGAGGCACAAGCAATTGGAAAATAACACTACCCAGGAACAAAAATATATGTTTTCGTTACACAGTGTAATCGAACGCAACCGGAAATATTTTGCGTGGAGTCAATAAAAAAACAACACCGCTTAGGAATTGCATTGAGTAGACGTGAAGATGAACACTTGGTATTGGAGAGAGTACGCACGCAGATTGACGGCATCGTTTGCGTTGACGAGAGACGTAAAGCGGGCCTCGGGCAGCACGCGTCCGTGGCTAGAAGGGACGGAGCGATGAAATCAGCTCCTGTGCAGTCGGTTGGATCATTACATATTCTGTGGTTCTTTTGGTAAAGTCACGTAGATAGAAAAAAGAATATTAAAAGTAAATAAAAACCAAAGATTATGAATTCCTGCAGTCACGAAAGTTTTAAGTCAGAATTTGGATCATTACGTCGCGGGAATCGTGAGAGGCGGCGGCTTGCGGTGGCCTTCATCCAGCAGTGGATTGATCATGGCTGATGATGAATGGATCGCGTTGTTGGATTTAGTTGCACCTTCCTTTACACGTGAGACGCACCCTTGATGTGGCCCTTCCACAACATGCGCGTCGTGGGAGGTTAAATGCCCATACTTCACCACTCTAATTCGTGCGGGTTGATGAAGAACGGGAAAACACAGACGTGAGATGATGGCATGCATGATCGTCGAACATCCAAGCACTATGTATGACAGGCTCACCGATAATTGGTTCACGGAAATCCCCTTACCCACGCGATTTGTTTTATGTTTGTGCAAATTACGAACACGACAGAAAATCCATCATCATGTCCGTGTTAACTTTCGCTCTATCTGCGTCAAAGCAGGATTCATCTTTTTTGGCGAGATACACACGAACAAAAGGGATCCCGCTCTGGCAGTCCCCCACATCATCAAATCGGACAAGAGGATGTTGGCAGTACTGTGTCATGCCAGCGATGGTCAGACTTCCTGACCCTACGACGAGCAGAAACAGGTCCCTGCAGGGTGGGCTGGTAGGAACATTGGAATTTTGCGCAATTTTATGACATTGTTACTTCCAAATGTTGGGTGCAATAAGACATATCAAGTCTCTGCGCTGTCTATTGCTGATTTTACACCCAACAGCACGAGATTTCACTTCGTTAAAGTATTGAAAGGGGACGGACGGACGCATTCATCTATTGCAGGCTGGTACACTCAGTTTACAACTTCGTTCCTACCAGTATAACCAACACCTCCATATGATCGAGATCAGCCAGGACGCAAATGGACCGATCACGCGACCGGTTCGTTGCGGGGTCTGTTTGAATCTAGAAATCTGCGGCAGCGCCCTCGGGAGGACTCAAGTCTGAGCCCCGCTGCTAAAGGGACAGTGGCCCAAGCCAGCCGGACGGTGGTGGTGGTGGCTATGCACGTGGCCTGTAACCCAGCACCGTGCAGGCAGCAGCCTGGGTTGGCGAATCACACAAATGTTGCGAAACTCTTTTCCCGCGTGCGTGGAGGTGCCCATATCCTGGCTCGCCGTGAGAATGCAGTGCAGCAAACGGGAAGGCCTCTCTACCTGTTCCGTCTGTATGGAATCGCGTGTTTCCCCCTCGCACGCATGGAGTATTTCTCCAGGTGCTCCGGTTTCTTCCCGCGTGTTATTATGGTTACGCCGCTCCCGCTTTCGCAGATTTCTCTTTGGTGTTTAAAAGAAAGTTACGTCGTATTGCAAGGTTATAAATGAGCTGCGTTACTAGTATATACAATATATAGCTATTATATAATCATCGTATGGCGCATATATCAAACTGCACGAGAACTGCCCGGGAGTTGCGATCTGGCCACTCCTGGTTTAAACATTACACGTTCATTTTGACATCTGGCTGTCAAAAAGAGATTGGCAAACTTTCACGTGACCCGATCCCTCAACTCCTTTATACTGAGCCTGTGCGAATCACCTAGTCGCCGGATTATAAGACACCCCAGAGAGTAATACGCACTCCCAATGTTGTGTCTTGCGTTAATTCGCGTTTACAAATTTGGCCTCACACACGCGCAAATATTGTACTGAATTATAAGACGCACCCCAAACTCTTGCTTGAAAATACAGGGGGGGGGGGGAGGAAGGAGCGCGTCCTATAATCCGGAGAACAATGTATTTATTTAATTTTACAATTCGATTCATTTTCATGGTTCCATGCCGCGTATCAACATACTATATAAAATGTTTCCCCTCGTCATGAATGTAGCGGCCTCTAGAGTCTAGTGGCAGTAGTGGTCACGTGAACCCATTGGCACGGTTGGCTACGTACGGTGCGAAAAAAGTTCAACATACATACAACAAAAACGAGTTGAAAATAATGAACTTTTTTTCGTACCATGTATGGTGAGCGAAATAATCCACCGTAATCGATTTACCAGCTTGTGCTATACAATACGTCCCTAACGTTATACCAGCCACCACTCGTCAGAACAAGATGGTTATGACCATCAATTGCCAAAGTTCGTCAGATCGCGAAAGCCAAGCAGGCTTCGCGTCTGGATATTGCTTGCATCGGTGACCACCAAGCGGAGCTTACGCAAAAAAAGAAACGACTTGACCACAAAGTATAGCTGAGCGAAGTGGATTTTCACATGGAAATGTATAACAACCGCATGTTGTTGATTATAATGTGAATGTGGAGGGGAAAACCGGAGGACCGGAGAAAAATTCGCACAAACACAGAGAGACGCGCAAAAGTCAAATTATACAGCAGCAGGCGTGAGAGTCGCAATCGAACCCACGACCTCCTTGTATACCAGGCGAGGTAGTTAACATCTCCTAGCCACCGTGACGCCACACGTTTGTCAGCGGATAGCAGTGCGTAAAAATCCACGTCTGCGCTTCGCCCGCCTTCAGCAACCCGGGAGAACCAGCGTGGTGAAGTATGGTCACATAACCACCGCGGCACCCCCTCATCCAGCAGTGAATTGACTGACAAAGGGCTGGACAGCACGAGTGCGTGTGGGGGGGGGGGGGAGGTAGGACGAGGAGGCGGCAGGGAAATATTTTCTGGAGCTCAGCCCCGGGACAGCTGCTGTTGAACTTAAGGCAACTACGGCTAAACGCCATTTGAATGGGATCGTGCGTGGCAGGAATCGTTGAGCGTTTTTTTTTGTTTGCGTTTAATATCCACACACGTTGAATGTCATCATTGGCTCACGCCACTTCGCTACATTCACCACAATGGCCCCA